AACTGACGAGGCTCACAAAAGCAGTTACACAGAAAGGGGCCACAACGTTCTGATGTAAGTCAACGTGAGCCAGAGTCAGAAGGAGCCGGAAGCAGCCCCCGTGCTCGCTTCCTATTCCTATTTGTTTTCTCCAAAAGCTCATCATGTAAACCGACTTCACATATCCACTCTCCTCTCCTGGACCCGCCCTGTTTAAAACCAAAGACTCTATATAATCTGTGGGTTAATGGCGTTCTCCAGTTTCGTGTGTTCACTGGACTCAGCCTCAGGAGCTCATTGTCTGTCTGGTCTGAAATAGTCCAAACGTGTGACAAAGGTGCAGCAGCTCCTCGGGATTACAATGGGATTTGGATGAGGGGGCGGGGCTTGTGGAGTCAGGGGGAGGGGCCAGGGTCTTAGGTCTAATCGGGGCACTCGTCAATAAGTCAATAAACACGAACTTTTGAAAAATATCTAAATCACGTCTATGCATTTGACGTTAAAACATTTATTTTTCTCTTTCTCTGATGCTTTAGAGATGTGGAGATGTTTCATAGTATGACAATAAACGTCTCTATCTCCATGGAGACAAAAAGGAGACACCACCAGGCCAAGTTACAAGTGAGATCTGTGGAGAGCCGAGCCTGCTCACAATAACAATCTATTGTGAGCAGGTTTTCAATCTGTATTTTTTCAATAAAAGCACTTGTAATTGAATAAAGACTAAATAAATATGTATAATGCCATACTGTGGAAAGTTTCAGGCAAAAACACAAGCCGGTAGTGGATCCCTGAGGCAGAAAAGTTACACAGTGCAGCTTTAAAGTACGGTTTACTGATAATGGATTTTTACTGCATGACTTCCAGCTAATAATTACAATACAGTAGTTTATCAACCGCAAAATTTGACTCTAGATTGATTTATACTTCCTTTATCACAGTGCGCCTGCCTGCCGGTCAACCTTTCACCCCCGGGCACCTCGCTCCTGTCCGCACCTGTCCCCCCGCCCCTCGTCTGTGCATGTAGCTGATTCATTCATTCTTTTCTGTGTAGGAGTCCAGACACTGTGGGTCAGACAGTGAACTCAAATCAGCCGAGACAAAGGAAAGTGCGGGCGTCATCACGGCTCCTGGATTAACTTGAACTCCCAAAAGCTGTTCCCGCTACTCCCTCCTCTCCCACTCCCACTCCTCTCCCCTTGTGATGTTGTTTCCTCATCACAAACACACCTGGAGTTGTGTTGTTGTTTCATTCGCACATGTTTAACACACAAACGCTGCAGATTTAGACGGAGTTCTTCTCTCAAACTGGCAACTCCACACCTTCCACCTTGTGATGTCATGCAGAACGGAGCATTTTGAACTTTGGAGATGTAGACTATACAGTAGGGATGTAGCAATAACTGAAATATTGTGATACAGTATCGTCAAAAGTCTCACAATAATACCATGGGCTGTCACAATATATCGAATCACAAGTTCCTTTGCTTAAATGCACGGTTTTATAGTAGTAACAGTTTATGAACATCGGAAACTACATATCCCATGATTCATTGCAGCGCAGACAACATGAAGATATATGTTTTTTACTTGAATTCTTGGGATTACAATGGAAATAATTCACACCAAAATCTTGTCATGGTATTTTAAAAGCAAAAAAAAAAAGCGATTCATCTACAATTATATTAACCTCTTCAAAATATCGCAATAAATATCGTACCGTGAGATTTGGATATTGTTACATCCCTAATATATACACTAATAGAATCCTCAAAACATGTACGAATGTGACAAAACACAACTCCGAGTATGTTTTTGAGGATATTTTGACATTATAACATGGCTAAAAGTTCACAAAAGTCAATTTTGCATCATTTACGACATTGGTATTCCATAAAGAAAAGCTCAATCCAATGACCACACCGCAAAGTTATATTAAAAAAGATATTACGAATGCAAAATTGTTAAGACTTATTTGGACTTTTAATAGTACGACATGTAAACATCGTGGTTCTCAAGAGCTGAAAAAAACTTCCTTGAACTATAATCAAAAAACTTTAAACTTATTTCTAGTTATTGCAAACCTCACAATAAAATCACAATATTTGTAATCTTATACCGCAGTCCTAGTACAGCAGGTACAGCTCACAACAAAGATCTAGGTTTCACGGTTTAATAAATCCGTATTATAATATGTTGCTTCACCTTGACATCAGAGGTAACTAATATACCGTGACCTGGATAACGCAATTTAAGCCTGTAACAAAACAAGTCTGTAATTTCATAAGTCTGTAATTACCAATGCTACAAAAAAAAAAAACATGTTTAAATTAATGTAGCCACACAAATTCTTTACCTGATAACCCAATATTACTACAATTTTTAAATCTATACCTCACGAAATTTGAGCTAATGTGAAAAAAAAAAGTGCTTTATAGTTACAACAAAAACTAGAGATGTTTTCCTGTTTTATAATCCAACTTCAAATATTTTAGATCATAATTACACTTCCAACTCGCTCTTTAACATGAAGTGCATCCATTCTGCGATCTAGTAAAAGTTATAAAAAGCGAAACTGGACGTACCTGATAATAAAAAGTTACGTTCTGAATCCAAACATGTCCAAAAGAAAGAGAGGAGGATGTAAAAAAAAGAGCCTGGAGCTACCACTTAAACCTTTTGGAAACAATGGACCCTACTGATATCCCACTAAGCACTGTCAACTCACCTAGGCAACATGGAGCGTACCACTTTGGCTTTTCAGAGGAGGGGAATCAGACTTTAACTCCCAAATAACCTCATGAAATGCTTCAAAATGGTTCAGTCTTATTCTAATACAATATTGGAAGAGTGCAAAGCGATATTGTTAAGTAGAATGTTAACAGATTTGAGAGATTAAAGGAGACAGAGTGGTTTAAAGATCGTTGCTCCCCCCCCGTGGAGTGGAGGTGGGCGGTAAAGCAGGACACGCACTTGTGAAGCTTGTAATTGGATTCAGAGTTTTAAGTCCGCGTTGCCATTTGCTGCGGAGGGACAAGTGCAGCCCGGTCCAGATTCGTCGTAGTAACGGGAGTAAAAGGAGCAGAGTGAGCGATGGACTACAAACGAACGGACTACAAACAAAGATGGAGGACACAGAGAGACAGAGCTTAGGTGTTGATACTTTTGCGGTGACATCGCGCTGGGGGGGGGGGGGGTGTTCGACATGTATCTCCACTTCATTTGTAACTTTCAGCGGTTGCCATGGTAACACAACACACACATTAATAGCAAAAACAGCCCAAAATGTTTTAATACAGTCTGAAAACTTAAGAAAGAAATTACAAAATGGATTTAAACAGCACATTTTCAGGAGGCTGTGATCAATATGAGCGTTCATGGTTCTGTTTAGGAGTTTGATTTTCTGTGACTGTAATGTTACGTGTGAGAGAGACTTGTTTAACATAGTGTGACCAGAATTTCAAAATAAAAAAACTGGGACACTCTCTGTTTGTCATAATAAGTAATAATAAAATTGTGAAACGAGCGCGTAATTAAGGAAAACTGTTCCACCCAGTACAGTCACACTTTCTTTGTGTTTTGGTCATTTTTGAGCAGCTTTTCTGTATTTTACCTAAACAAATGTCAATGTATGCCTATATATACTTTCCATAATTCCGCACTCGTTTCACAATTTTATTATGACCCACCACCAAAAAACCGGGGATGTCCCAGTTTTTTATTTTGAAATTCTGGTCACTCTAACTTATAGCAGCTGACGAGCATTCCGCCAATACACATACATGTAGAACACCCCCAGCGTGAAGTATGAATACTACTAAATAAAAGAGCACCCTCCCCCGTCCCTCAGTGCCAGGTTGTGTGTTACAGCCCCTTGTGATGTGATAGTAGCTGGTGCATGTGTCCAGGCTGCTGTCTGGTTTATCTGCGCTGTACTAACACTTGGCTCAAAGGCACAAAGGCGGCTTTTGTTTAGAGACTGAGAGCGAGGGGCCCTCTGAGGGTTTGATAACAGCTCGCTCAGATAAGACTCTGCACTGTAGGCTTTATGTTTATCTCATTAGATTTCGCATGTTTGGCACAGACGTACCCTCTGTCTCTGTAATTATTTTGCGACGAAGGCTGAACAATTTGGGGAAAATACTGTAGATAATCATTAATTTTCTGACAAGCATTTGAGATTTATGTTTTAGTAATAGGATTCTGTTCAAAAAGTTCGCATTTTAAACACATTCAGAACCACAAAAATCTGAATTGACAAACTAACTAAGGCTACGTTCAGACTGCAGCCTGAAGTGACCCAATCAGATTTTTTGGCCCCTATGTGACCTGTATCTGATCTTTTAATGACAGTCTGAACGGCACAGATCCGATTTTTTCAAATGCGACTCAGGCCACTTGGATATGTGGTCCTAAATCCGATACATATCTGATCTTTTGACATGCGACTTCAGTCTGAACGGCCAAGGCGCATTCATCCGACCTACACGTTATCAACAAGTGACGAATGTACACAAACATTCTTCTCATCATACGAAAATTGTTAATGAACTCCGTGTCACTGAAGTGAAGCACATCGCAATCCCACCACTCTTGGCTACGTCTCCACATCCACACGTTCCTTTCAACGGACTGTCCCACAAAACGCCATGAATGCCAAAAACCTCGTCCTTCTCCTTCTCAATCCCCTCCTTAAAACAAGTAAGTTGTACATGTTTGGACAACTTCCGTAAACACAGAGCACATTCGCTGCGGTTGACGTCGTCGTGTCCTCCGATGTGCATGTGGGACACTTTTGGGCCATTTAATGTTCACAATGGAGATCACATACAAGTCGCATTTAATTGGAAATGTGAACGACCTCGCAAAAACATTGGATTTTACAAAAAAAATCTGAATTGAGCATTAAGCCCTGCAGTCTGAACGTAGCCTAATACATGGGCTGATCCAAATTTTAAATACAAAAAGGTAAAATGCACAGATTGAATGTTCATGTTTGAGTTTGGCTGAACAGTTCTTACCTTCTTAGGACCAAGGACAGAGTCTTGTGCGAGCCCTTGACCAGAGAGATGGCCTCCTGTCTGGACCCACACAGAATCACCGAGTTCACGCCCACCAGCTCGTCTCCCACCTGCAGACGCACAGCAGCCGCAAAACTGCCCTCCTCCACCTCAGAAAACACAGACAGAAAGAAAAAATAAGTGTACACAGGCTTGGTCTCTCTGCGATCTTGGTTTAGGTTTGATTTAAAGGTTTAAAGACATTTTCAGGAGCCTGTGATCAATACAAGCATTCATGGTCCTTCAGACAGACGTATCGATAACATCTCCATGAAGACACGCGCTAAAGTTACACAGTGCACCTTTATCTACTCCCTCGTCAGACCTTGGTGATGACCAGCGGCTCCTTGTGCTCCGTCCCTCCTCTCAGAGTGAAGCCCCACGGAGCTTTGCCACTGAGCAGGACCTCCACCAGCCGCTCTCCCCCCGCCGGGCTGCTCCGTCCTGGGCTGCTCTGCGCCGTCATAGCCCCCTGGAGCTCCACCGCCTCCAGCTCTCACGCTCCCATTAACAGCACATCAACCTGGAGAGACAGAGAGCGCCAAAAAGTGTGAGAATAACGCTTATAAAAACGAATAAATAAGCAAATACATAAACTGATATATGCAGCTCATCAACATTCCCTGGAGATATGATTCGAACTGTGAACACTGCTGTTTGAAGATGTTAGACTTTAATCTGAGCTTTATTTTAACACAATCTGGACAGAAAGAGCTGATTCAATCGGCACTACAACAGGTGAGATGACGACCCATTTCACTAAAACACAATTAACATAATTAGATTTAAGATTTTGCTAAAAAGTTTAAATTTTTTCCCAGATGTGCGCAAAAATATTGAAATATCAATATATTGTATCATATAATTTGATGATACAGTAATGATATCGTCGGTTCAGTCCTGGTTTAGTCCTTGTTAAGTCAAAGGTTTAGTCCTGGTTTAGTCCTGATTCAGTCCTGGTTTAGTTCTTGTTAAGTCGGTGGTTCAGTCCTGGTTCAGTCCTGGTTTAGTCCTTGGTTTAGTCCTGGTTATCAATATGTCGTATCATATAATTTGATGATCCAGTAACAATATCGTCGGCTGTTGTATCAATATATCACCAAGAGTAACTTTTTGTATATTTTATTAAATTATTTTGTGTAAGAGCTACAGTTGTTACAGGTGTTTTTCATATTGAATTTGCACAAACTTAGTGCACTTAGTAAACTTTTAGTATCACAGTCATGATTTAGCAATTTTTTCACTGAACTGTATCAAATCGTATTGAATTGAAAGTGCACTGTATTGAAAAAATAATAATAATAAAAAATCGTAAAAATCGTATTGAGGCCTATGTATTGTATCGGCAACTTCTTAATGATACCCAGCCCTATTTTTTCCCCCAATTTCCCCAATTATTTAAGTTTCACTTTTTACTTCCTGGCTGGAAATAATGACATTACACTACGAAGTTCCGTAACTGTTACCTAGCAACCATGTCACACACTGGGCCACACCCCCGCTAATATCACAGAGATTATGTGACAAATAAAGTGACAAGAAAACACCTTTATTTTGTTGAAATCATGTTTAAAGTATGAGGGAAAAAAAAGTCTCTTGCGTGAAAATTCAATACAAAAGTCTCTAAAATGGAACTCTCTACTTCCTGTGATTTTCAGCTTTTCTTCACTGGTATAAAACTGTAACTAATATTTATTACATGTATTATTCTACCAAATAAAGTCAAAATTTGGGAATAATTACAAACTATCATACGAACTTTAACACATTTTTTTTCTGCACGTTTATTACAATAAGCTGTGGTAAAAGAATCTACTTTATCTCATCTTAACTTGAACGTGTGTAAAGAGCCGAAGCAAATTAGTTAATAAAACATTAGCCAAGTTAGTGACAGATCAGGTAGCGCATAACGGTCCAATTAAGCTAGCTAGTGTTAACTCTCTACACTATTTTATATTGTTAACTAAACTAGGAATAATAATAAAACAACAGATTATTAGCTCTAGAGATGCGTTAAATCGTGTTTTGGTTTTTAAGCTTAAACTAAAATGACATTACCTGTTAATAATGTCGTAACTTGAGGCGACGCTCCGCACAAACTTCAGCCCTCCCGATCTGCGGCGCATCGCTCCGCAGGGTCACGTCGATGCAGAAACTATGATACAAAAAGTGTTCAACCAAGTGAAATTATGCTGTTTTTATTTGCGTTAGTGGTGCGTAAACATGTCCTTTCTTATCTGACGTGCACAAAAGACTGAAATCCAATTCACATGATAAATATTTCATCATTTTCCAACGTGACTGAAACGAAAAGGCAAGATACGCAGAGCAACAGCGCCCTCGTGTGGTCGCTGTTCACATCGCAATATCCTAAAATCACTAAACATTTTATCCGTGTTTAGTTTTTGGTTCAGCTCTGGTTTAGTCCTTGTTAAGTCAGTGGTTTAGTCCTGATTTAGTCTTGATTTAGGCCCTGTTTAGTACTGGTTCAGTCCTGGTTTAGTCCTTGATTTAGACCTGGTGTAGTCCTCGTTTAAGTCCTGGTTAAGTCAGTGATTCAGTCCTGGTTTAGTCCTGGTTCAGTCCTGGTTTAGTCCTTGTTAAGTCAGTTGTTTAGTCCTGATTTAGTCTTGGTTTAGTCCTGGTTCAGTCCTGGTTTAGTCCTTGTTAAGTCAGTTGTTTAGTCCTGATTTAGTCTTGGTTTAGTCCTGGTTTAGACCCAGATTGATCCTGGTGTAGTCTTGGTTTAGACCTGGTTTAGTCCCTAGTTTAGTCCTGATTCAATCATGGATAATGTTCTGGTTTAGACCTGGTTTATTCCTGATTTAGTACCAAGTTTAGTCCTGGTTCAATCGTGGCTAAAGTCCTGTTTTAGACCTGGTTTAGTCCTGGTTTAGACCTGATTAGACTAATTGATAGAGTGGTGCAAGAAATTCAGACACTGTTGTCAGTTTACTGGTACTTTTTATTTATTGATTGATTTATGTATTTATTTATTTTGGGCAAGTATATGGATTATATATGGATTAGATATTTGAAGGAGGAGTAGTACCAATGTGTGTTTTTAGTGTGTATTGAGTGGTTTAAAGTGCTTTATGTTTGTTTTATGTGTTATAGCTTAGGGCACTGGTAAGAGAATTTATGACTCAGCAATGAAAAAGTGAGGTCAAGCGTGAAACTGATGGCCTGAAAAGGTTCGTGACAAATTTTCTTTATTATATCATAAACTACTTTCACAACTTTGAAAAACTTTTAAAAAGTTATAGCTCGAGTTTCTTGCGCGTCGCCATGACAACGCTTCGCCTGTTTATATTTTTGTGTGACGTCATCACGCGAGTTAAGAACACAGCGGTCAGGTGACGTGAAAATAAAAATGTAAAAAAATAATAATAAATAAATAAAATAAAAAATACTTTGCCAACATAATTTACTTTCCATTATGTTTTTTGTATTGTTTTAGCTGCAATTTAATAAACAAAGGTTCTGTGACGTAGGCGTGAGGGAAGGGAGACTTTTAGGTGACGTGACGCGGAAGTGAGCAGACAGCGCTCGAGACACCTGTGCGCAGGTAAACAGCGGAACAGAGGAACGAAAACACGAGTAAGTGGAATTAAGTGTTATTTAAAGGATTTAACATTATTCAGAGAGTTAAAGAGCGCTTAATTAGGCGATCGGTGCTCTAATTAAAAGCGAAATTACAAGTTTTAGTACTTGTTTATCAAAATGTTACTGATTAAGATCGTATGTTATCGCTTTGTATTAGTTGTTCCTGAAACAAATCGCGTTTTAAATCGATGATTTACCATAAAATCGGTATACTTTTAAAATATCTTACTTGTAATGTTGTTAAAAGAAAAAATATTAGGCCTATTTAGCTGTAACATGAATAGGCCAAGGTACATTTTGTCAATTCAAAGAACTTTTCACTCTGCTCCAACCTGACATACTGGTTCCAAATATTTTCACAATGAAGCAGCGAAACAGATGAAGTTAACATGCACAGTTTCAGGAAAGTACAAATATATAAGAATAAGTATAATTTAAGTATTTGAGGCCTATTAGATTAGATGATTCTCTAATTTGTACTTAATTCGGTGGGATTAAAAAGTGTTGGTGTTAGTGAAAAAAAGATGAAAAGTATGTTGAAAGTTACGTGAAGTAGAGCTCTGTTTTAGACAGTTTCATATTGACATGCGGTTGCTAGGTAACGTTTATGAAATTCCGTAATGTGATGTCATGATTTCCAACCAGAAAGTAAAATTTAAAAAAAAATTGGTCAAACTGGGATTTTTTTATTTTTTATTTTTTCTTCTAAATCGTGAAGATGCACGTGTAACTTTTTGTTTTTGGGGTCCGACACTTTCTTGTTTCTATGGATGTCTCTGTTCTGCCCGGAATGTTCCACAGTATGACATTAAACAACTCTACGTTATATTTATTCAATTACAGATGGTTTTATAGTTCAAAAAAATACCTAGAAAAACGGGTATACTGACTGTGACTGTGCGGGGTCACCTCTCCACAGATTTGACCTGTATCATAGTTCTTTTGTGGTCACCATGACGATAGAAAGGTTTAATACCATAAACCGTACTGTGCAACATTTCAGACAAAACAAGAACATGACCATAGAGAAAAGCATTTGACTGGCCCTACACCAAAAAAGTTACACAATGCATCTTTAAATATAATAATCTTAAGTGTAATTTAGATAAATGAGTTGTCCAACCTGTCATAGGCTCTTAAAGGATAAATAAAATAAAAATAAAACATGAGACATTTTTTACATGCACTTTTATTCATTCATTAGATTAGGCTATTAAATGATTACAGTTTTTGATTATAACTTCTCTTTTAAGGATGTGAGTTTCCCATTTTCGTGTACTTTTAAATGATGTATTTTGTCTTGTTTTGCAGTGGCAAACCCCATACCTGGCAATCTAAAATCAGAGGCGAAAAAAGCGGCAAAAATCCTCAGAGAATTCACCGAGATCAGCAACAGAAATGGACCTGACAAACTCATCCCACGTATGTTATTTCACTTTTATTATTACAATGGTTTATTCAGATCTTAGACTAACGCCGGACGTACACTGTGTGATATTTTCAAACATTTCACTCAGCTCCAGCTCAAACTGTACGACCAAATCACAGGGTTTAAAAGTTCACGGCTCACGATTCATGTTCTCACACGATACAAACAACTTCAACAGAGTAAAACCGTCACGAGAGCCGACTGGATTTCAAACAGGTTGAATATTCTTGCGATCTGTGATTGCCGATCGGGAGCTGGTCGTGAGGCATTAATCGGTTCTCAATACCCCATGTAAACCACAGAAAACTTGTAAAAACTCAGCCCGATCCCAAAAAAACTCAGCCCGATCCCAAAAACAGTCGCACACAAGTGAAAAAATCGTTTCAAAAAGAGTCAAAAATTGCACAGTTTATGCCCGGTTTAAGACAAACTTTATTGATCCACAAGAGAAATTATCTGGACACAGTAGCCCCCATCACAATATAGTAAGTCTTTATTTATTTATTTATTATATAATATAATATAATATAATATAATAACAAATAAAACAAATTTAGATGGTAATAATAAATTCTAAATAAATACTGCTGTCAACTAAGGCATAATCATATAACTGTACATGTACAAGTAAAGTAAAAAAAAAAAAGAAATATAGTAATACAAATATATCTCAGCTGTATACAAGAGGTTGTAAGAAAAAACAGTGCAAAGATTAAAGAATGACTGACAGAACATAGGCTTATCTGTTACATAAGGGTGAGTTGTTGTGCAGTTAGGGAGTATTATCTTAGACTTAGACTATTGATCCACAAGGAATATTACTTCTAAATAAGTAGAAGTAAAAAAAAAAAAAATAGAGGCTGGTATAAATTAAACATAAATTATATACATGTATGTGCAGTAAGTAAAACTTAAACATCGTAACATCGTAATATTGTTAATAAAAGTGATAGAAACACAGGCTTATCTGTTACATAAGGGTACAGTTGTAGGGAGTATTATCTGTTACATAAGGGTGTGTTGTTGTATAGTAATATGGGTCCTTTACTGCTACTGCTCTGCTTTACTTCACACTTCTACTAATCCTGTTACATGATGAAATATAATGTCACAATTCCTGTTTATTTTCTGTTGTGTTTCTGCAGCTCATGTGATCGCGAAGGCCGAGGGTTTGGCCATAATCTCTGTGATCAAAGCTGGATTCATGATCACGGCTCGAGGAGGAAGTGGCATCGTCATCGCACGACTCGCAGACAGACGTGAGCATTTAAAAACTTACTTTATTTTGTTTGGAAGCTTATAAACGTTTACACTATATCACCTTCTGTCTATTTGACATTTATTAGTGTAATATGGAGAGAGTTTTCAATGATTTACAATTCAGTTTTTTAATTCCTGTATACCAGCCTAGCTCCGCCCACTGTGTGTTGTCAGAAATTCAAAATACAGAAGAATCCCTACAACATCCGACCATTGTGAAAGCTCCCAGTGCCATGTAGGCAGACTAATGTACGGATCCATTTTTGGAGACCTGCATTTTGGAGACCCGCACCCGCTCAGTACAGCACCACACCCACCTGGACCCGCTAACATTCCACCCGTTACTCACCCATGCCCGTGATAAATCACAGTCAGCCCATTAGTCCGACAGCCCAATAGACCAGGACTAAACCAGGACTGAACCTACGCCTTGTCATTAGCAGATTCTATAGATATACACGCCGCAACCGCTGAGCCGATTGCCAGGACTAAACCAGGACTAAACCAGGACTAAACCAGGACTAAACCAGGACTAAACCAGGACTAAACCAGGACTAAACCAGGACTAAACCAGGACTAAACCAGGACTGAACCTACACCATGTCATTAGTGGATTATAAATATATACACACTGCAACTGCAGAGCCGATCACTAAGACTACCCCAGGACTGAACCAGGACTGAACCAGGTCTAAATCAAGACTAAACCAGGAGTGCAGCCGCTGAGCCGATCACCTCCGCTGATGGTTTTATGTAAAACATACATAAGGATCTATAAGACCTGGTGTTGTATCCAGGTCTTATAGATCCTTGGTTTCAGATCCTGTCGTCATATGCAACTTTTCATCAACCAACATCACCATAGAGACACCCCCCAACCCAACCAAAGTTCCGCAGTGCACCTTTAATTTAAATGTTCTGTGTTTGTGATTTCAGGTTGGTCGGCCCCGTCTGCCATCGGGATCGCCGGGTTAGGAGGAGGGTTTGAGATCGGAGTGGAGGTGAGGACTGACAATTTGTACCTTTTTCTTTCAACTACCAACTGACAATAGTTCAGCTGGTGGAGCGTTTATCCACAGAGTCCGACAGAAGCTGAACCGCATCAGCGACACAAGGAGCGAGCTGTTTTTTCAGTGCTTAGTTTAAGCAAATTAGCCATGTGTTTTTAAATTTTGTTTTTGTAAAACGTAAACAAATATGCTCAAAGCTGTGTGCATAGGGAAGGCTTCACAGACACAGAAACGACGTGCCTGGACGCAAATTGTTTCTGATGCGGTGATGCATTTCACTGTAAACGTAACCTTAGTATTTGATTTGATTGTTCTACATACTGAATATGTTTTATGTTATGACATCAGATTGAATATAATGTATGTAGATATACTGTAATGAGTTAAACATTGACCGACTAAACACGTGAATGAATGAATGTTTCCTCATCAAAAACACACCTGGAATTGAATGAAGTAGTAGTTTTCAAGTTAACAGCTCCTTCTACCTTTCGTTTAGTAAAGATCGGCAATTCCAGCGCTGAAAATATCCAAATGATTCTAGTGAGAGTGTATGGCGTTTAAAAGCACAATGGAGCACTTTCTGTATGCCCACATGACATTGTTTTCAGTTTGAGAGAAGAACTCTGTCTAAATATGCAGCGTTTGTGAGTTAAACATGTGTGAATGAAACAAAACACAACTCCAGGTCTGTTTGTGATGAGGAAACAACATTAGAAATAGATCAGAAAGAAAAAGAAACAAAAAGAACAATACTGCTCACTGCTTTTATTTATTTAAAAAATTCATTGTGACGTTTTTCTGTAGGAACACAGATTTACTGATGGAGTCTTTGTGCTGTTGCAGGTTTCAGATCTGGTGATTATTCTGAACCAGCGGGCTGCGATCGAGGCGTTTTCTAAAGGAGGAAATCTAACGCTTGGTGGCAACTGCACTGTAGCTGTTGGGCCCATGGGCAGGTCAGTGAAGTAAAGGTGGTCTCCAGGGACGTAGATGAGTTTAAAGCGTCACTCCGGGACATTCTAGGCAAAAAAATCAGAAGAAGGTTTTGAATATTCCACCGGGAGGGTTACATAATGTGCAAATGTATGTTCTCTGTCCTGCATTGCTCCTCCAGCACGGTGCACTCGACATTCATCTCCTCATAGCAGCTCAAAATGGTGTCAAACCTCTTCTGTATTTTAGACCTCAGAAGTTTCTCCTGTATCAGCCGCTTCTCCAGAACAATGTTCCTATCGAACTCCTGGGAGAACAGTTGTCTGAGCTCCTTCAGCAGCTGCTTTAGAGCACAGTGCCTCTTCTCCAGTGTGGAGTGGTCTCCCTGAGATCTCTTCGGAGCGTCCTTTAGCTCCTCACAGGTCCTCAAAATGGCATCTATATTTTGGACCTGTGTCTCCATGTCCTGTATTTTTTTGAGCATCTGGACCTTCTGCTGAGCCTTGAGTTCTGCGACTTCTTTCCGCAGTGCCTCAATATCTCCATCTTTGGGCTGAAGCTGGTGTTTCAGTTCACCTGACTGGACTATCAGTGCTTCTCTCTCCTCTTTGACTGTGTCCAGTTCAGATGTGAGGCCTTGCAGTCGCCTCTCACATTGCGCTGTATGAGAAAAATCCTTTCTCGGCCGGAGGGACTTTTTCGCTGAAGTTCCAGTGAGTGGGAGGCAGCTACAAGCAGCAACACCCTGTCCAGTTATTTTAATGGATCATGGTCTAGATGTTCAGTAGCCAAGTTTTTCCTGCTCGACCTCTTGCTGTAGCACACTGTTCTTTTCAGCCAACAGGCAGCATTGAATGGACCCGAACACTGTGGGTATATACAGTCTATCATCCTCTTATTAAAGGCACTCAAATGATTCTAGTGAAGGCGTATGGAGCTTAAAAACACAGTAGATCACTCGGTGTCATTTATGGAAGCCACATAATAACAGATCAGAAAATAATACACTACACATTTCTGACCTGTGTAGTTTTGTAGTTAGGAGGTTTTAATGAATCGTATCTGTTGATTTCTCCTTCAGAAACGTGGAGGCGGACGTGGCGATTCGGAGTCCGGCTGCTGTCTTCACGTACTGCAGATCCCGAGGGCTGTTTGCTGGGATTTCTCTGGAGGGATCCTACCTCATCGAACGCAAAGAGACCAACCGCAAGTATGTGACTAAATACTACTACTACTACTAATGATACTAATACTACTGTTATTGGTAATGCTCCTACTACTACTGCTACTGCTGATGTTATTACTGCTGCTGCTGTGACTAATACCGTAATTTCTGGACTATAACCCGCTAATTTTTCTCACACTTTGAAACCTGCGGCTAAAAAAACGAGGCAGCTAATATAAGGACAGATTATTTGTTTGGCACATTATTCATTCATGAATACGGTCTATGGTTTGGCAACAGCGGATACACGCAGTGCAGAAAACGTCGCTGTCTGTGCAATTCACACATGGATCTAGGGTTCAATTGAGGTTGCTACACTAGCTCACGATGTGGTCAGCGCTCTCAAATAAGTTATGATGCTAAATGAACATTAGTGAGGGGGATACATCTTACCCGTGTGCGACGAGAAGAAACATCTCAAACTTCAGTAGCTGGACATCCGCTCATACCTTATTGATAGAACTAACCCCACTCCCGAGAGAGTCTGAAATCTGCTGAAATCCTCCAAGACACTGACATGATACAGACAGGACAGAGACTCTTTTTGCAGGAGACATGCGTAGGGGAGAGACAAGGATGATGCGCAGAGGAAGATGCTCATTTGATTGTGTTTTGAACAGTTATTTTGCGCTTCATACACACACCCTCCTCATGGAAAACACACGAAGAAATGCCAGATGACGCAGCTTTTAAGTTAAAGTCGATTGATGTGACTGTGGAAGAAGTAAACAAAGCTGCTGCACGTGAGCTCGACGTCAGTGAGTCGATGGTGAGATTTTGCCGACAGCAGCGTGACGAACTGACTCAACGCAAAAAGATGACAAAAACTTTCAGAGGCGATAAAAGCAGACAGCCCGAACTTAAAAACATTCTTGAAGACTTGGACACCTGCATTTTATATTCAGATGCGGTCTATATATGTACAATTTAAAAAATTTTGTTAAAATTTTGTTAAAGCGGCTTATTTTCAGGTGCGCTCACTAGTCCGGAAAATACGGTATTACTATCTTTTTAACACAAGTTGAATTGCAAGTACGTGACAACTTACTACTATAACAAGAAAGAGAGTGAGTTTTCAGTGCCGCTGGAAATATTGTAACTCCACTCCGATCATATCTCCAACCTCAGAAAGTGAATATGCTGGTTTTTCTCGCACGCAACATGGACTTTGCCCAGATACCGCGCTGTTGAGCCTCTATGACGCACCGCAGGAGAAATTCCCTAACCGCGACAGCCCTAATTTGTGCACAAAATAATTCAAAGTGCTTTACGGAATAAGAAATGCATTAAAATCACAATAGAAACAAATCAAAACATAAATAGTCATCATGAAATTAACTAAAATAAAAATTCAGAACATACTAGCAACTACTACTGCTACCATTACTGAAACCATTACTACTACAATGAAGAAACTCTAATCCTCTTTTTGTGTTTTGTGTTTTGTCGTTCAGGTTTTACGGCCGTGACATCAGAGCGTCGGGTATTTTGAACGGAGACGTGGACCCTCCCGCCGAATGTTACGACCTGTACCACATTTTGGATGCCTACACCGACGCCTACTCCGCCGACTGGACCAGCAAGAACCCCAGCGTCAAGGTGAGAGGCGAGAGAGTTAAGATGTCGTGCACTTAATCGCAAAGTAGAGCTGTTGAACGTTCCAGGCAGAGCAGTGGCATATCCATAGTTACATCGTGCGTCTTTAACGTACGCTGTTTTTTGTCTTTGTAGTCGGCTCCGTCCAGACCCGCTCCTCCATCGAAAAGACCTACGAACAACTACCAGCAACCTCCACCCCCGACCTACCACCCACCTCCTCCCTCAAGCGTCTACCAACCGTTTCAGTCATCTGGAAGTGCTTACCAACAGAACCAGCCTCCACCTGCCCAGTCCGGAGGTACGAAAACATCCTGACACAATCTACTCAGAGGAGGAGAGGAAGGAAAGATAACAGAAGAAAGAAGTACAGGGAGAGAGGAGAGGAGAGAGAAAGGAATCAAGAGGAGAGGGAGAGCGTAGACTGTATAAGAAAGTGGATTAAGGGAGTGTGACGTCACCTGTAGTGTTCGGCTCCAGTCAAATGAAGCTCATCGAGGCTGCAGTTATTTCAGTTAGAATTCAGAGCCAAGATAGCTATTTGGGATTCTCACCACGTATCATATCAATCAAGCAATCAATCAACTTTATTTATATAGCACAGTTCATAAACAAAACAGTTTCCAAAGTGCTGCACAATACAAATAAAACATGTCCAATAGAAGTATAAAATAAAGCTCTATTTAACTCCACTAGTCCTCGTTAAGACAATAAAACTAGTCAAATCTAATAAATAATAGACACAGAGGAGCAAACAACTCACGTGGTGTTTAAAACCAGAGAATAAAAGTGGGTTTTAAGACGAGACATAAACTCTCCACTGTGGGGGCTGTTGGGACGTGGGGTGGAAGAGCGTTCCAGAGTTTGGAGCCGGCCACAGAGAAGGCCCCGTCCCACCTGGTTTTAAATCTCATCTTGGGCATCACGAGCTGGAGCCGACCAAAGAGCCAATCAGGGGCGAATCTGTATATCAAGCCAAGCCTCAATAGTTTGTTATTAATGTTCATATGTTAATTTTTGGACAAAATGTCAAAGCCTGATCCCATCAGATCTCAGAAGCTAAGCAAGGTCGGGCCTGGTTAGTACTTGGATGGGAGACACTGGGAAAATCAGCTGCCACAGGGGGCGCCAGTGGCAAAAACTGTCATTGTGTCCTTAGGCCAGGCACTTCACCCATATTACCTAGTATGAAAGTGGTGTGTGTGTGTGAGTGATGGTGGTGGTCAGAGGGACCAATAGCGCAGATTGGCAGCCTCGCTTACATCAGCTGTGGCTACAATAGTAGTTTACCACCACTGGGTCTGGAGTGAATGAACAATGATCTGTAAAGCATCTTTGAGTGTCCAGAAAAGCGCTATATAACACTGATGCATTATTATTATTATTAAAATAGTAAAATAAAACTACTAAGATCATGTAGAGCGGGTTAATACGAACATTTAAAGACCAGAACGACGAGGCTTAGAGCAGTAGATTTTTCAGAGTAAAGTGAATTGGAACCGAGTTGATGGAGCCGGATTTGTGCCCATGTTCACTTCCTATTTGGAACGTGGTGGCTTGCAGCAGTTAGCCGTGTCCATTTTACAGAGTATGGGGGAGAGAGGAGGAATGGTGGAATGACGGAGATAAGAAAAACAAACACTACAGTCAGAGGAGAGAGAGAGAGAAAAGGCGAAATCTGGCTCATGAACATGTGTTTGTGAATTTAAATGACTGTAATCCTATGTTTGATTGTGAATGAGTTTATATATTTCTGTTTTTTGTTTTTCCAGGAGGTAACAATAGACTGTACCCGAGTATCTCCGTTTACAAATCTGATACTTCATGTAAGTTACTCACCAAACGAGGCAATATTTAAAGGTGCATTGTGTAGGTTTTCTTTCTGTTGGGGGTCCGCAACCTGTTTGTCTCCATGAAGATGTTAGTGCTTTAGTTTAAATTGTCCACAGTGCGGCTTTAAACTAATCTGTCTAACATTTATTCATATACAGAAGTTATTTATTGCGCTCAAAACATAAAGTCTTATTGTGAGTGGGCTCGCCTCTCCACAAATCTAACCTGTAATTTGGCTTTTATTTATGGCCATACTGTGGAACATTGTAGGCACATCTCCATGGAGACGAGCAGGTGATGGACCCTCCAGCCGACAAGTTACACACTGCATCTTTAATATTTTAATTTGTACAAAATATCCAGTTTGGACATTTTTTAAACTTTCTTTTCTTTTTTGCAGCGAGGCACAGTCCAAATAATTATGGTGAGTAAAGTAAACAAACTAACTGAAAAAAACAAACAAACAAACCAAACAATACATTTTATTCAAAGCCATACTGCGGAACATTTTCAGTGTATGTATATTAACCGTAACAAAACACTAGGCTGCGTGTTTTCCAAGGTATTTAACAAAACGCACTGAATAAAATAAATTTTTGTATTTTAATCAATTTACTGAGTGAAATGTTCCGCAGTGGAGCTTTAAGGTATAAAAAATGTTCAGGTAAAAACTGATTTTAAGCAGTATTTTAGGTAGTCTAATGTTATCCTCCGTCTCCAACAGGTGGTGCTGCAGCCTCCGGAGCACCAGCGTGGGGAGGTGGGGCTTCTTCTGCTCCTCTAGTCGTCACGGCGACACACCCGTTCAACGGAGAACAGCCCGGCGACCTGAGCTTTGCGCCCGGCGACCGCATCACAGTCATCACCAAGACCGACTCCGAGTTCGACTGGTGGGAGGGGCAGACGGCCGACGGCAGGACGGGCATCTTCCCCGCCAACTTTGTCACGTTCTGAAGAAACTACTAAAACTACAACTACTGCAACAAGAGAAGGTTTTAAAAAAAAAAATTTAAACTACAAAAACTACAAATACGACAATAAGAGAAGGCAAAAAAAATGAAGAAACTATAAAAACTACAAATACAGCAACAAGAGAATGTTAAAAAAATGAAGAACCTACAAAAACTACAAATACAGCAACAGGAGAAGGTAAAAAAAAAGAAGAAACTACAAAAACAACTACGGCAAAAAGAGAAGGTTAAAAAATGAAGAAACTACAAAAACTACAAATAAGGCAACAAGAGAAGGTCAACAAAATGAAGAAACTACAAAAACTACAACTACAGCAACAAAAGAAAGTGAACAAAAATTAAGAACTACAACTACAGTATCTACAAAGGGTCAAAAAAACTACGGAGGAAATTACAACCTCTCAAACTACAAAAAAATCCAACTACAGGATCAAAAAGACAAAAAAAAAAAACAACTGAAGAAACTACAACTACAGAAACTACACCTATGGTATCAACACAGAGTCAAAAAAAAAAAAAAAAACAACTGAAGAAACTACAGCTACTAAAACTACAAAAAAAAAAAAAAAAAATCCAACCACAGTATCAACAATGGGTCAAAAAACTACTGAAGAAACTACAACTACAGAAACTACACCTAGAATATTAACAAAAGGTCAAAAAACTATGGTGAACTACAACTACAGCAAGAAGTGAGTAAAAAACAATACTCAAGAAACTAGAACAATGGCAACAAGAGGCTCCGAAAAACTACAGCTGCAACTACGGCAACAAAACAAGGTCAAAAATGTACAGTATATTGAGGAGGAAGATGAGAATAACTACAACAACAATCTCTGTGTTTAACCAAAATGGAAATGAAATACATATTTAGAGTAATTTGTTGACGCTTACTCAAAATATTTGTCAGGTGAAATTTTAATTCCAGTTTAAACCAGCAGGGGGCACTGTCGTATTATTAAAACATATAAATAATGTTATATTTGCTTGAGTTTAGTGCCTTATTAAGCTATTTTCTGATCTATGCTCTGAAAATGTAGACCTGGACTTGAGTTTTGTTATAGACTATAACATATTTAACTGTTGTTGTTTTTTTCAGTAGCACTTTTTAGGAATTTTAACTCTCGAACAAAAACCTGTCTTCCCTTTCAAAATAAAATTAAGTTTTTTTTGTATATTTTTTGCTACGATGTGTGGAATTATCTTACACTTACTAACTTCTGTGCTAAAAATTGCACTTTTTCTGAGCATGATGGGTTATTTAAACTGGATAATTGTCGTAAAGTAATTGTTCTATTTGCTTCTTTTCATGGTATAATTGTAAAAATAGAATAAAGATATTTTGAAATTTAAGAAGCGCTGGTCTCGTTTTTTTATAATTTACAAAAACACTGACAAAAGACAACAGATTATCAAACAAATATTTATTTTATTTGCTAAAAGACATTTAAAAAGTCAAAATATTTCCCCATTTTCAGTTTAAAGAACGTAGTGTAATATTTTACTTTTGAGGAGCACAATAGAAAAAGCTACAAAAAAATTATACAAAACAAATAAATGTCAAATGTCTCTAGTTATTCTGCAGATGTTGCTGTGTGTCAGATGCCCTTCCAGATGTTGTGGTCACTTATAGAAATTATCAGAGAAAACTTTTGTGGATTTTTTGTGGACGTTTTGAAAATTTCTTATGAAAAGCATCAGGGAATGAGATTCTGCTCCAATACCACGCGCTAAAAATACTAAACAATTTATACATTCATAGGACTAATCTTAAAGCTGCATTGTGTAACTTTCTGGTTATGGGTCTGTCACCTGCTTGTTTCTATGGACATGTCAGGCCTTTAAAATTATGATTTGAGTTTGTAATAAATGACAAAAAATTATGAAAGGAAATGATGATGGTGAAAATAATATTGGTTTAAGTATAGGGACAATTTTTTTAATTTTTATTATTATAATTTTTTTAATGGGAGAGTGAAAAGGGGAGAAAAAAAAACAAAACAAAAAACTGAAGAAAAAGAGAGAAAAGGAATTCCAGTTGTGAATTGGCTGCCATGTGTAGTGTGTGTAGTGTGATGCTTTAAACATGATTTCAACAAAATAAAAGATGTTTTCGTGTACATTATATGGGTTTTGTCTTACTCTACGTCATGAAAATCCAAAGAAAGTGTAAAATGTTTAGTAAAATCTTGAATATAATGATCTTAAGTGTGTTTTGGAGAAATGTGGAGTCCAATCTTTATGTGGCTCTAACTGAAATTCTCCTTTAACGGCTTTTGTAACTGGGCCAGTGTTTTCCAGGGTTGAGTCCAAGATGAACCAAAAACCTTCGGAAGTTGCCCAATATTCTCCTGGTGCGTTGTGGGAGCTCAGAGCAGGAGTCCCAGAGGTTCTTTGGTTGGTGTCTCTGTCTGCGAGCTGTGGGAGTTTACACACGACCTGGAAGAGAAATAAAATGTAAAAGGAATTTAAAACAGGACGAAACTAGGACTAAACCAGGGCTTAACTGGGACTAAACTAGGACTAAACCAAATCGAAACCAGGTCTTAACCAGGACTAAACCGGAACTAAACCGGGACTAAACCGGGACTAAACCAGGACTAAACCGGGACTAAACCAGGGTTTAATTGGGAATAAGCTAGGACTAAACCAAGGCTAAACCAGGACTAAAAAAAGGACTCAACTAGGACTAAACCAGAGCTTAACTGAGACTAAACCAGGACTAAACTGAGACTAAACCAGGACTAAACTGGGACTAAACCAGGGCTTAACAGAGATGAAAAGAGGACTAAACCAGGCTAAACCAGGACTAAAACCAGGACTAAACCAAGAGTAAACCAGGGCTAAACCAGGACTAAACCAGAACCAAACCAGGGCTTAACTGAGACTAAACTAGGACTAAACCAGGACTAAAAAAAACAAGTCTAACTCAGGACTTAATCAGAACCAAACCAGGACTAGACCAGGGCTTCATTGGGACTAAACTGGGACTAAACTAGGACTAAACCAGGGCTAAAAGTAAGTGAAATAAACTAGGATTTATTTTAAATCTGAACTAAACCGTGTTCCACATAAAACAACATCAGATGTATGTTCAAGGACTAAACCAGGTCTAGACCAGGACTAAGTGGAACTACACACGCTCCAAACCAGATCTAAACCAGGTCTCTGCCTCACCGTCTCCAGCAGAGGGCGTTGTTGCTGCTGTCGGTCCCATTTCTTGTTTGTTTATTTTGTTGTTGACAGTCGTAAACAGAATCGGGAAGTGGCAGTCCGCTCGTTTCCGGGAGCAACAGGCACAAACCGCAGCCCACGATTGGTCCGCTGCTGTACACCAACATCGCAGCCAATGAGATCGCTCCGTCTGAACTGGGCGGGACTAAGGTGTTGGCGAGGCATCCGAGTCGAAAGCAGAGGTTCACCAGAGACACACAGCGCTGCCTGGAACCCAAAACAACACTATTTTCTGATTTTATAATGTAGTTTCCTCGTCACAAACAAACCTGGAGTTGTGTTTTGTTTGTTTTAGTTTTATTCAGGAAGATCTCCACTGTGTTTTTAAACTCCACACACCTTCACTAGAATCATTTGGATCATTTCAGCCGCTGGAATTTCCGATCTCTACTGAACTAAAGTGAAAAAGCAGCAGTTCACTTCATGACATCACAAGTTGACAGAAATTTGGCATGAATTAGGTCTGGATTGACCTGGATTGACCTGGATTTGGCACAAATTTTGTCTAGTTTGGCACAAATTTGGTATGAATTTGACCTGGTTTGACACAAATTTGGCCTTGTTTGGCATGGATTTATCCTTGTTTGGCCTGGATTGGAATGGACTGTTACAGATTTGGCCTGGATTTACATGGATTTGGCACAAATTTGGCACAAATTTGTCCTGGTTTGGCATGTCTTTGGCCTGGTTTGTCCTAAATTGGGACAGATTGGCACGAATGTGGCTATGACTGACATGGATTTGGTCTGGTTTAGTACAAATTTGACCTTGTTTGGCACATATTTGACCTTGTTTGGCCTGGACTGGATTGGACTGGCACGGATTTGGCCTTGTTTGGCCTGGACTGGATTGGACTGGCACGGATTTGGCCTTGACTGACATGGATTCGATATGGTTAGAAATAAATTTGGCATGAATTTGACCTGGTTTGGCATGTGTTTGGCCTTGATTGACATGGATTTGGCACAGATTTGGCCTGGTTTGGCATGTATTTGTCCTGGTTTGGCCTAAATTGGAATAGATTGGCACGCATTTGGCTTTAATTGACACGGATTTGGCACAGATTTGGCCCTGGATTGATGTGGATTTGACATGAATTTAGTCTTGATTGGAACAGATTGGCCTCAATGTGGCTTTGATTGACATGGATTTGGTCTGGTTTGGCACAAATTTGACCTTGTTTGGCACATATTTGACCTAGACTGGAATAGACTGGCACAGATTTGGCACAAATTTGGCCTGGTTTGGCATGTATTTGGTTAATACGAACATTTAAATGACCAAAATGACGAGGCTCACAGCAGCAGCCACAGAGAGACGAGACATAATATTCCAATACTTAATAATCCATTTTATTTATTGCTTTGGTTGTGTTTGGTTCATCAATGGTTTATTCAAGTCCATTTTTGTGAACAAGTCCTCGCTGTGAGTCAGACACATTAGACTAGTTCTGTCTTAACAAGTCTGTTTTATTTAGGCCTGTTGTTTTTGGTTGTTTTACAGTTCCTGTGTTAAATGTTCTTTAGAAAGTAAGGTTTATTGATCTTTGAAAGGGTGTGTTTGCATTTTTATTCCAATGTCATTATAATAGTTGAAACTGGTCTCAAAATGTCAATATTATTGTTTATCGCAATAAATTCTTGGTCAGTTAATCATCCAGCAAAATCAGTTTTCGTTACAGGCCTAGCTGTTACTACTGTAAAACAAGGCACGATATTATTGTGAGATTTCTGACGATACGATATCAAGATATATCACGGTTATTGTGACATCGTGTCATAATAGTAATGGTGATTCTGCTGTGATAAACCGACCTCCGCCTCGAGAAAGTGCAACAGAACAGCCTCAAACATTTACAACGAATGTCGAGAGAAGTGACTGATTTATTGACTACTGACCATCAATAGAAAGCGGGATGATATTGTTTTGTGGTGGGAGTTACCTGACGATGGTGGGGAAGAGCTCGATGCTGTACAGGTTGGAGATGAGCGTGGCCATTAAGATACAGAGCTTCCCCAGAAGAGCAGAGGACATGACCAGCACGGCCTCACCTGAACGACACACGGCACAACGTTAGACTCACTGTTTATACTTGTGACACAACGAACACAACAAAAATTTTTAAGATCGTCTGAAAACTCAAGAAAAAACACAAAATGGTTTTAAACAGCACATTTTCAGGAGCCTGTGATAATCCGTGTATCATTCGTTCATTCATTTTTCAATATAAAAAAAAAAAAAAAGAAAATGAAAAAATATCTGTTTTCTTCATTATTTGGCTCCAAAATCAAAATGAAAAAACAGATAACGATTTGTTTTTACAAATCTACTTGTGACTGTATCTACTTGTGACTGTAACTGTCTGTGTGAGAGACTTGTTTAACAGGACAGATGAGCTCACCTGTTGTACTTCCAACATTACACACACATTAAAATGCAGATTAAAATCTAACTGCCGTAATGGAGCGTCAGACTGAGCACATCAGCTGCCAAGTGGGTCAGATTCAGAACTTTAAAATCGGCTTTAAAATCAGAATTAAACCACCCAATTTATTCTGATTTAAGTTTAATTACATATAATTATTAGGAATTAAGTGTTTACATTTTTAAAGCGGAAATCATTTTTATTCTGAATTAAATAATTTTTCATTGAAATTTTTTGGACAACTGACAGCCAACTCTCATTAACCAACACAAACTAAATATTATAAAATCTTTAGATGGTAAAAAATGGTCAAAACGACAAAAAATTGAAATCATACAGTTTTCATAAAATGACAACAACACAAATGTAGGATTTTTATAGATTTTAAATTGATTTTTATTATGTAGCAGAGGACAGCTGACCTAAACACAGCTCGCAGATCAAGGCCTTTTTTGTCCAACATCTGCGCTCTGTATCCTCAGGTTGGGCCGTCAAACTCTACTGGGCTGCACACATTCTACAATTAAAAAGTACAATTTCATTCAGGGAACAAGATTGCACATTTTAACTGGCAGAATGTGTTTAGGTTGGGCCAATGGGTCTCAAATTAATTTTTGGGCTAATTTGGGGGGGGGGTGCTTGTTTATGTGCAGAAGATACAATGTGAAAAGAGTTATTTTGCATGAGATGGGCCCTTTAAAAACATGCTATAAGCTTTAAAGGTGCACTCTGTAACTTTTCTGGTGGAGGGTCCGTCAAACGCTTTTCTATCTTCATGGTGACCAAACCAGACCAAGTTACAGGTCAGATCTGTGGAGAGGCGACCCCGCTCACAGTCAGAATGTTGTTTTTCTAGGTATTTTTTGAGCTATAAAACCACCTGTAAGTGAATAAATGTAAAGTAGAGCTGTTTAATGTCACGCTGTGGAACATTCTAGACAGAGTAATGACGTATCCATAGAAACAAACAGGTGACGGACCCCTGAACGAAAAGTTACACAATGCACCTTTAAGAAAACTACAGTACTTTCTACATTACCCAACCTTTTTAGCCTAATGTGTTTTTAAAATATTCACAGATTTGTATTTTTGACCCTTGTGTGTTTCCTTACAGTTGTACTTCGACATGAGCAGCGACAGGAAGCAGGCGGCGCCGCTCAGGAACAGCGCGAGGATCGTGATCGGTCGGCGTCCCAGGCTGATCAGAGGGACGAGGAGGCAGGGCGCTTCCGACAGGCCCGAGAAAAACTGGGCGGAGTAGACGCCGACGCCAAACGATCCGATGTTCAGACAGATGCCGTAGTACGTCAGCGCCGAGGCCACGCTGAGGAGAGGAGGGCAGAGTTCAAAGGGAGGGCACGGGGAATGTGTGTTTAAAGGCGCACTATGTAACTTTTCGGGTGGGGGTCTGTCACCTGCGTAAGACCACAACTAAACTGTAATAAACGACTGAAAAGAAGTAATAAGGACTAAACCAGGACTAAAACAGGACTAAACCAGGACTAAACCAGGATGAAACCAGGACTAAACCAGGATGAAACCAGGACTAAACCAGGATGAAACCAGGTCTAAACCAGGACTCAACCAGGACTAAACCAGGATGAAACCAGGACTATAGGGCTAGACCAGGGCTAGACCAGGGCTAGACCAGGACTAAACTAGGACTACAGGGATAGAACAGGACTAAACCAGGATGAAAGTAGGACTATAGGGCTAGACCATGCCAAGACCAGGACTAAACCAGGATGAAACCAGGACTAGAGGGATAGACCAGGGGTAGACCATTACTAAACCAGGATAAAACCAGGACTATAGGACTAGACCAAGGCTAGACCAGGACTAAACCAAGACTAAACTAGGACTACAATGCTAGACCAGGACTAAACCAGGATGAAACCAGAACTATACGGCTAGACCAGGGCTAGACCAGGACTAAACCAGGATGAAACCAGGACTAGAGGGCTAGACCAGGACTAAACTAGAACAACAGGGCTAGACCAGGACTAAACCAGGATAAAACCAGGACTATAGGACTAGACCAGGGCTAGATCTGGACTAAACTAGGACTACAGGGCTAGACCAGGACTAAACCAGGATAAAACCAGGACTATAGGGCTAGACCAGGGCTAGACCAGGACTAAATCTAGACTAAACTACACCAGCTTTAATGATGGACTAAACCAAGACTATACCAGAACTAAACTAAAAATAAACCAAAACTAAAACAGAACTAAACCAGGACTAAATTACGATTAGACCCGAACGAAACCAGGACTAAACCAGGATGAAACCAGGACTAAACCAGGACTAAACCAGGATGAAACCAGGAATATAGGGCTAGACCAGGGCAAGAACAGAACTAAACAAGGAATAAACCAGCTTTACTGATGGACTAAACCAACACAAAACCTAAACCAGGACTTGACCAGGCGGACCATGAGGAATCTCTCATTTGTGTTGCCAGGTTCAAAGCTGAAATCCAGTGTGTTCAAACCTAAAATGTCTCTCTCTGATCTGAAGTTTTTTGTTGCTGAAAAAGAGCATCTCAGGACATTTATTGATCTGCTTTTATGTCAGTGGACGATGACGGTATTCACTCATTTATTGATCCACAAGGGAAATTATTTGGACACTGTAGCTCACACATCACAATATATTACAAAAACAAAGAGAAAAAATATAAATGGTCATAATAAATTCAAAATAAGAAGCAAAAATAGCAAGAGACCGGTGTCAAATATAAGAAAATCTACACAGAAAACCAAAGCGAAAATGACAAAAAGTAAAACACAGAGAAGGAACTTTAGCCCTTCTTACAGTGAAACTTTTTAGATTTTTTTCAAGATTGTCACCTGATGTAGCTCATGATGAAGAGGCGTTTGAGGACGGTGGGGTGGCGCAGGTGGATGGTGTCACAGTGGGCGGAGTCGGTCTCTATTTTGGCCTCAGCGGCTTTCTGCAGCTCAGAGTACGCGGAGTCCAGCAGCTGAAAGCAAACGAAACAACAATATAAAAGTAAAGTAAAAGGTCTGAGGTTTGTCCTGATTTAAACCTTTTCTGGTCCCAAGTCAAGTCCAGATTTAATCTTGGTTTAGTCTTGGTTTGGTCCTGGATTGGTCCTGATTTAATGCTGATTTAGTCTTGCCTGGTTTGGTTCTACTGTTTGGTTCTGGTTTAGTCCTGATTTAGTCCTGGTGTTTGTCCTGATTTAGTCCTGGTTTTTCTAATTTAGTGCTGATTTAGTCCTAGTTTGGTCCTGGTGTTTGGTCCTGGTTTGGTCCTGGTTTAGTGCTGGTTTAGTCCTGATTTAGTGCTGATTTAGTCCTGGTTTCGGTCCTGGTGTTTGGTCTTAGTTTAGTCCTGGATTAGTTCTGATTTAGTGCTGATTTAGTCCTGGTGTTTGGTCCTGGTTTGGTCCTAGTTTGGTTTTCATTTGGACCTAGTTTGGTTCTGGTTTAGTTCTGGTTTAGTCCACGTTTGGTCCTAGTGTTTGGCTCTGGTTTAGTCCTGATTTAGTGCTGATTTAATCCTGGTTTAGTCCTGATTTAGTCCTGGTTTGTTCCTGGTGTATGGTCCTTGTTTAGTCCTGATTTAGTCCTGGTTTGGTCTTGGTGTTTAGTCCTGGTTTAGTCCCGAGTTACTCCTGGGTTCTGGTTTAGTCCTAGTTTAGTCCTTGTCCTGGTTTATTCCTGGTTTAATCATGGATTGGTCCTGGTGTTTAGTCCTGGTTAGGTCTTGATATTTGGTCTTAGCTTGGTCCTTGTTTCATTCTGACTAAGATCAAACTTAAACCTTGAGACTAAACTCGTACTTGGTCGAGACAGTGTTTGTCCTTTTTGCTGTTGCCGCGGTAACGCTCCAAAACGTCCATCCTCTTCTTCAGCAGCAGCCAACGCGGAGACTCCGGGATCCAACTGGAATCACATTATACCACGTTTTGGAAAGGCATATCTCAAAAAACTTTTAAAGGTTCACTGTGTAACTTTTTGGTTATGAGTCCGTCACCTGCTTTTTTCTATGGATACGTCATTGCTCTGCCTGGAATGTTCCACAGTGTGACTTTAAACAGCTCTACCTTGGTTTAATCCTGGTTTGGTCCTGGTTTAGTCCTGATTTAATGCTGGTTTAAGGCCTAGTTTGGTCCTGGTTTGGTTCTGGTTTGATCCTGATTTAGTCCTGGTTTAATCCTGATTTAATGCTGGTTTAGTCCTGGTGTTTGGTCCTGGTTTGTTTCTGGTTTGATCCTGATTTAGTCCTGGTTTGGTCCTAGTTTAGTCCTGGTTTAGTCCTGATTTAATGCTGGTTTAGTCCTAGTTTGGTCCTGGTTTGGTTCTGGTTTGATCCTGATTTAGTGCTGATTTAGTCCTGGTTTAGTCCTGATTTAATGCTGATTTAGTCTTAGTTTGGTCCTGGTGTTTGGTCCTGGTTTGGTTCTGGTTTGATCCTGATTTAGTCCTGGTTTGGTCCTAGTTTAGTCCTGGTTTAGTCCTGATTTAATGCTGGTTTAGTCCTAGCTTGGTCCTGGTTTGATCCTAGTTTAGTCCTGATTTAGTCCTGATTTAATGCTGGTTTAGTACTAGTTTGGTCCTGGTGTCTAGTCCTGGTTTTATAGCTCAAAAATACCTCAAAAAACAGGCATTCTGACTGTGAGCAGGGTTGCCTCTCCACAGATCTGACCTGTAACTTGGTCTGGTTTGGTCTCCATGAAGATAGAAAGGTTTAATACCATATTTAATACACGTAACATTACAGACAAAGCAATAACATCTCCATAAAGAAAAGTATTTGACTGACTCTCCACCAGAAAAGTTACACAGTGCAGCTTTGAGTCAACAAACGCTCAACACTTTATTTTTTTAACTAAACGTGCTGTCATGAATGAATCAATAAAAAAAATTAAAAAAACAGGTGCAATCCCTGAGATAACCCACCACCTTTTTCTCCTCCACCGGCACATGCTGATCTCAGTGTATTTATACTAAACGACCTTAGTCCAGCCAACAAACAAAAACCGCAAACAAGGTGTAGGTGTGTTATTTTCACAGTAGTTTCCACCAGTGTCTGACCAGAACCTTTCTCCAGACTTTGGTCCAGGTGACAGAATTAAATGTTTCTGTTTTTGCCATTTCTCCATGTTGTTTTTACCAAGCAGGGGGTCTTTAAGGTCGCCACACACTACAGGATTTTTCAGTCAGAGTCTACGTTTATATGATGACGGTCTGAACAGAAGACGCAAAAGTGGTGTTGAGTCTTCACTTTTTATACCGTGTTTAGATGAGCGTTTTCGGGAGGAAATCTGCGTGCATACGGTGACGCAAAAGTACGCGACGTGAGCAGATCTGACCAGAGTTTTGCGTCTTGGGCAGTGTAGACGGAGACGCAACGGTGGAGCGTGTTCAACTTTTACACTCTGGAGGGTGGTTTCAGATTTTTGCGTTTTTAAGCCCCAAAAACGCCGTCACCGTCTAAACGAAAGGCACTTCTGATAAAATATTTTGTCGTTTTTACCCGCAAGCGTTCTCGTGTAAACGGGCCCTTGAACGATTTTTAAATGTGCGACAAAAAGCGCACACCACAGACACAAGGAGAATGTTACGAGACTTAAACTCTCCGATCGCAAAGACTGCAGTGGGATATGCCTGCAGACCACAGCTGTTTCCTGTCTACAGTAAAACAACTCGCTTTGAGACTCTTAAATGTTCAAAAGAGCACAGCAATTCTAGTTTAGATACAAGTCAAAACTGTGATATTATTTGTGAAATGTGTCTCTGTGTCCGTCACTCCTCTGCCCCTGGTGCTCTCTTTTATCGGCTTTTTGCAGGACGGGGGCTCTCCTCATCCCCAACTTTCTCTACGCCTTCGCAGCTTTTGCCCCACCCAGAATTGTCGGGCAGGTTTGTTGTGTCCAGCGCCCCCTGGCTGCAGGATCTAGAGGCTGCCTGTCTATATTTTGGGGTTCCCTCTCCTCCCCGGGTGCTAGTCTTGTCAATATCATCTGTACTGTGTTTTTGTTGTATGTGCTGATGTTGCGGAGGGGTAAAAAAGAAAGTTATGAGAGATTCCAGATAGTTTGTAGTAAAAAAGATAGTTATGTCACAGATAGTAATCTCAAGACCCACCTGTTTATCTTAGCTTTGGTGGGGGAGGGAATTGTTTTTAATCACTGTAAAGCGCTTTGTGTAGCATTTTTTTGTTCGAAAAGCGCTCTATAAATAAAGTTTGATTGTTTGACTGATTTATTGAATACCGTAGTGTTGCAGATGTTTGGTGGTTACGATTTATGACAGAGGATCTCAGAGTCACACAAAAAGTCGGGTCACGCCTCTCTGAACTCGGGGAGAAGCAAATCGCAGCCAAAATCAAGGGAAAATTCTCCTGTAGTGTGTGGCGGCTTTTAGTGAAACTTATTTTAACATTTTTATAACCCTAAACGCTGATTCCGAGCTCTATAAACCTACTATCGTCAATCTTGAATTCAGAATTACAGGAGACTTTATTGATAAGAAATGTTTAAATCACGCTGTCTTTCTGTTTTCTCACATTTGTTAAATAAAAGTTCATATATTAAGGTTAGAGTATTGTGTGTAATGAGATTAAATACAAACTAGAAGAGCGGGAGACAGGCGATCTGCGGCAGGGACAGCGTCAGGTGCAGCCAGGTCCAGGTGGGGGTGATCCAGGCCAAAACGGCTCCGCCCATCGTCCCCAGACTAAAGCAGAACGGGAGGACGGCGGCGGCCAGAGACGAAAGGGGGGCAGGGTCCACTCCACCGCTGAGAGGGAGAGAAGGAAGAGAGGAGAGAAAGAGAGAGGGTTTGAGAAGATAGAGAAGAGAGGAGAGAAAAAAGACAGAGAGGAGAGGAGGTAGGGAGAAGGGAAGGGAGGAGAGAAAAAGTGAGTGACAGACAGAGAGAAAGAGGGTGTGGTATGGAAAAAGGAAAAGGAGGAGAGAAGCGAGAGAGAGAGAATGGAGGGGAGAGGTGAGAGTGAGGAAGGGAACAGAAAAAGCGAGAGAGAGGACCGGAGAGAAGAAGAGAGAGAGGGGAGGGGGGCAGAGAAAAAAGAAAGAGAGGAGAGAAGAGAGAGAGCAGTGGCGGTGAGGTGAGGAGGTAAAGGAGAAAGAGCGAGAGGGAGGAGGGGGTAGAGAAAAAGAAGGGATGAGAGAGCGAGAGGAGGGGAGGGAGGGAGAGAGGAGGCAGATAGTGGAGAGAAAGAGAGAGGAAGGGGTGAGGAGATAAAAGAGAGAGAGAGAGAGAGAGAGAGGAGGGGGGATGATTAAGGGAGGGAAGAGAGAGAGGGACAGAGAGGATGGGAGAGAGTGAGGGGTGAGGAAATAAAGGAGAAAGAGAGGGAGAGAGGCAGGGGTAGAGAAAAAGAAAAGCGATGAGAGAGAAAGGAGGGGAGGGAGGGAGGGAGGGGGAGGCAGAGGGGGGAGAGAAAGAGAGAGGAAGGGGTGAGGACATAAAAGAGAGAGAGACAGGAGGGGTAGAAAAAAGGAAAGTGAGGAGAGAAGCAAAGAGAGCGAGGAGTTGCGTACAATTAAGGGAGGAAAGGGAGAGAGGAAGGGGTGAGGAGATCGAGAGAGAGAGAGAGGAGGGGGAGAGAAAAAGAAAGGGATGAGCGACGAGAGAGAGAGAGAGGAGTGAGGGAGGGAGGCAGAGTGTGGAGAGAAAGAGAGAGAGGAAGGGGTGAGGAGATAACGGAGAAAGAGAGAAAGAGATGAAGGGACAGAGAAAAAGGAAGGAGGAGGAGTGTGCAGAGGGGATACAGGGAAGGAGGGGGAGAAAGAGAGACAGAGAGAGAAGAGGGGAGAGGGAGGAAAGAGAAGGAGGAGAGAAGACACAGAGAGAGAGAGAGAGAGAAAATTTAGATAAAAATGTCCTAGAAAACTTCCTAAGACATAATTTAAACAACAACAAGGTTTGTATTTGAGGAGAAAACAGTTCAGTACAATATCATCCCTTTAAAATAAATAAAATATGAAGTATAAAGTATAAAAGTGTGTTACCCAGGCTGAAGGCGCAGTTGTTGATGATGCAGGAGCAGAGTCCAGTGAGACATCGAACAACGAGGAAGACGAGCGGCTGAGAGACCAGAGCGGGGACCAGGCCGCAGAAAGAGTGGACGAAGACGCACGCCAAGAGCACCGGACGCTTACCGAACCTGGGGAGCAGAGGAGCAGAGGAGAAGGGAGCAGAGGAGCAGAGAGAGAGAGAGTCAGAGAGAGAAGGTCAGAGGAACAGAGGAGGAGAGGGTCAGATGAACGAGGAGAAGGTCAGAAGAACAGAGGAGAGGGTCAGAGGAACAAAGAAGAGGGTCAGAGAGAAGAGGAGAGATTCTGAGGAGCAGAGGAGCAGGTCAGAGGAGAAGAGGAAAGGGTCAGTGGAACAGAGGAGAAAAAGAGCAGAGGAGAGGGTCAGAGGAGAAGAGGAGAGGAGCAGAGGAGAAGATCAAAAGAGCAGAGGAGAGGGTCAGAAGAGCAGAGGACAGGGTCAGAGGAGCAGAGGAGAGGGTCAGAGGAACAAAGGAGAGGGTCAGAGGAGCAAAGAAGAAAAAGAGAAGAGAGGAGGGTCAGAAGAGCAGAGGAAAAGGTCAGAGGAACAGAGGAGAGGGTCAGAGGAACAGAGGAGAGGGTCAGAGGAACAGAGGAGAAGGTCAGAGGAGAAGAGGAGAGGGTCAGAAGAGCAGAGAAGAGGGTCAGAGAAGAGAAGAGGGTCAGAGAAGAGGAGAGGGTCAGAGAAGAAAAGGAGAGGGTCAGAGGAGAAGAGAAGAGGGTCAGAGAAGAGGAGAGGGTCAGAGAAGAAAAGGAGAGGGTCAGAGGAGAAGAGAAGAGGGTCAGAGAAAGGAGAGGGTCAGAGGAGAAAAGAAGCGGGTCAGAGGAGAAAAGAGGGTCAGAGAAAAGGAGAAGGTCAGAGGAGAAGAGGAGAGGGTCTGAAGAGCAGAGGAGAAAACAAGCAGAGAGGAGGGTCAGAGGAGAAAAGGAGAAGGTCAGAAGAGCAGAGGAGAGGGTCAGAAGAGCAGACGATGCAGAGAACAGGGTCAGAGGAAGCTGAGATGAGATAGAAAATGTCACTTGTATGGGATCGACTTCGTTCCATTACCTGTCTGAAATGGCTCCTCCCACCAGAGAGCCGAGGAGCAGCCCGACCATGAAGAGAGTCTGACCATAACACAGCCACCCCCTCCATCTGCACACGGACTGCACACAAAAACACACACGAACGTCATTACATTAAATAATTACACAGAAAGCTTTGTACTATTCACATATTACAAGCCTATCTATTATTTAAAGTGCATATGAGAGATTACACTTCTTTCATTAAAACATAACATATTTAAGAGTTTACAAACTTTATTGCCTATTTTTTTTATTTTTTTCAATACTACATCAACAATGTCAAAAGTGCAAAATTTTCTGACTGATTTCATACTTTCTTTAAATAAATAATAATAAAATAACAATAATAAAAGAAATAAATACAATGCGAGTACAATGCAAAAGGGTTTATACATCGGACTGCATAAAATTATTCATTATAACAGCTTGTTTAGATTTAATATGTCAAAAGGCTGTCTTAAATTGCAAAAATTAATGAAGATAAATTTATTCTGGTGAAGTTTATGCTTATAAATTTACTTCCACGTAGCAACCATAAAGGAAACAAGCGCAAAAAACCTAAATCTAAATTACACAATAATCATGATTAGACTAATTAATATAAATACAACAGCTTTATTTTGTTGAATGCCTTCCTTACAGTTCAGATCTGTGGAGAGACGCCCCTACAGAAGGATTTATTGTATTTTTGAGCAAGAGAAACACCTGTAATGACTGGAAATGTTTAAAGTCGTACCAGGGCACATTCCAGGCAAAGCAGTAACATTTCCTTGGGGGTCAAAAAGTCAGCAGAGCCTCTTCCAGGAAAATTGCACAGTGCATCTTTAATACAGAATGCAATGTGATATTCTCAGTATTACACACATCTGCTGTTACATCATTTCTCCATCACGCGATTTCGTTACATAATCTAACGTTATCAAGCGCCGGTGTCAAAGGTCAGTCTGTACCTCGGTCAGGCTGGAGTAGAGTCTCCATTTTCAGGACTTCACACCTGCTTGTTTCTTAGGATATGTCATTGCTTTGCCTGGAATGTTCCACAGTGTGACTTTAAACAGCTCAGACTTACATTTATTCAACAACAGGAGGTTTTATGGCTCAAAAATACCTAGAAAAACAGACATTCTGACTCTCCACTGATCTGACTTGTAACTAGGATTGTGCAGAAATATCGAAATATTGATATATCGTATCATTTAATGTGATAATACAGTATCAATCAGTATCAATATCGTGGGCGTGAGTATTTTTTGGTATATTTTACTAAATTATTTTGTTACAGAGCTACAGTTTTGTTGCTTGTGTGGAAAAAAAGCAACTATTCTCTGGTTTAGTTTTATTCTGGTTAACAAATCCATATGTTTTACACTTAAAGGGATAGTTCGTTTTTTTTTTTACATGAATCTGTATGGCATCCCCATCAGCAGTGTCGTGCATCCACACTGACAGTGATAAGAACGGAGAGAAAATAGTGCCAAGCGATTATGAGGTCTGACTTTTACTTTTTTGAGGACAAAGGTTTTGTGATGCAAATGTGTCACTCTTTTGAACACGTATTGTTTTGAGAAGAAAAACGCGTCATTTTCGTGTCCCCAGCCAACTTGCCGGACTACTTTCGTCAGCACCGAAAACGTCCAGGATCTCGGCTCACCGGGCGCTGTCGGGGGTAAGTCGGTGTGGATGCACGACACCGCTGACAGGAATGCCATACAGATTCATGTCAAAAAACCCAAACTATCCCTTTAAGACTTGATTCATGGTACCATCCAAGGCCCCAGGAGTCTTCACCTGTTGCCCCCTGCTGCTCTCCTTTGTTACCGTCAGCTGTACCTGATATGATCATCCTTTGAAACAATGACCATCATTTTACCAACATGGGGTTTATGAGTTTAGTTTATTTGTTTATTTATCAGGGATAATGCACATAAAAACATTGAGCTACACAGAGAGGTCATATGCTTGGGTTATAGCAAAACTGGTCATTTCCAGCTTCAGTCTCGGGACAGGTTGATGTCAATAAAATACAGTGCAATGTATACTGATGCAATCCTTCATCCAGTCAATCAATAAGTAAAACTATAGTCTCATTCAGTCACCACATCCAAACACTATTTTTACATATTTACATTTCATATTGCTGCATTCAAACAGGACAGATTAATGTGTACAGGTTTGTTTGGTTAAAAGTCATTGTTTGTTCAGGCGTGCAAACATTTCATAATTAGAACATGATATAATTTCATGTGGGAGGCTGTTCCAGAGGTTTATGACTCTGTAGGAGAATGATGACAGACCAAATGAGGTTGTGCATCTTGGAACACGACGCTCTCCTCGGGCTGTGGACCGTGTGGTTCTACAGGTTTTCTCTGAACTGAGCACCACAAACTTTCTCAGTGGGCGGGCTCAGCTGAGTTATGAATGATTTTAAATAATGTTAATATTTGATTACATTTAAACATGTTGTCAACATTTAGCAATTTATATTTGACAAGTATTGAACAGTGGTGGCTCAGGCGAAACTTTTTTTCATGGATTTTAGTGCTCCTTTATACAATGTTTCTATCGGCTTTAAAAACGTTTCACACACCTGAGACCAGCGCGTAATACAATACTGAAGATGCGAGACAATCATGGCATTAAAATAAGTATATGACGCTTAAACTGTTAAAGAATTTCTAATATGTTTAAAATCCATCAAGTTAAACTTCAGTGTGTTTCCAAGCTTTTTAATGTGACTTTTAAAATTAAGTTTTGAGTAAAGTAATAAATGAGGGTGCTTTGTTATTGCTGTGAAATTCCTGCAAATGTTAATTTGCATTCTTTACCCACTTCTTTATGTATAAAATACTTCCTATACCTTTGCTCATGGTCAGCTTGCTCCACAGACATCATGCGTGTGCCTGCTTACAACATGGAACTTCCAACCAATAAAGACACCGCTACAGCAAATATGAACATGGAATTTTCTTCAACACTTGTTGAAGGAAGGAAACTTGTTTTGATTAAATGGGTGTGTTTACATGAACTTTGCACAAGACATGGTTAAACAAAGACTTGAGTATCAAATGTAGTATCATGATTTAGCCTTTATTTTTTATTGAATTGTACTGAATCGATTTGAAATACATCATATCGAATCGAAAGTGCACTGTATCAAGATATGTATCGTATCGTGGTCTAAGTATCGAGGTATGTATCGTATCGTAGCCTAAGTATTGAGGTGTGTATCGTATCGTGGCCTAAGTATCGAGGTATGTATCGTATCGGCAACTTCTTAATGTTACCCCTATTTGTAACTTGGTCTGGTTTGGTCTCCGTGAAGATAGAAAGGTTTAACACCGTAGTGCGAAACATTCCAGACAAAACAATATCCACAAAAGGTACACAATGTACCTATGAGTGACAACTGTGTGGACTTGGGTTTAGTGATTGCGCGACTAAAAAGGGGGCGTGGCAAAAACTTTCAAAACTATATGACGTATCTCTGTAAATCTGACCTAAATTGCACTCGCAAGACTGCACGGGAGTTTATGCATAAACAACTAAAGCACTAGGATCAATGTATTTAAATTGAGTTTAGTCTGCTTTTGTATATGTAGAAACCAAAAACATACCAAATCTTCAGCTAAACCACTCATTAACTTCTCATTTCTGTTGTTAAATCCTTATAATTTAAATAACACGATTAGCCGATTAATAAAAATACTGGTCAACTAAGACTCATCGACCGACTAAAGATCTACAGCCAAACTATTTCACAACATCGAATGTGAGAGAAACTGCAAAATAAAGGGAGTAAAAAGCAAATAAAAACAAGCTGTATTTGGGAATTGAAAAAATCTTGCAACAGTTTAAAAGCGTTAGACTTGTTGGGACCAGCCTTTGAAAAAGACTCCACCTCATTTTTGACACAGATAAACAATGAACTCACTCAACAACATAACAGCTGAACCAGGTCATTACTAAAAATGTTTTCGTTTTAAATACATTTCACAGTGGTGCCCAAAATATGTCTCTGGAGTCAAATCTGGCCCTCAAACTGATTTTTGTTGGCCCACATTCTGCTGAATTGTCACGTTTCAAATAGGAAGTGAACATGGGGTGCACTTCTGGCCTCCATCGACTCACTTTCTATTGAAAATCTCGCTTTAACTGCTGCAGTGAGCCTCGTCATTTTGGTCTTTTTCGTATTTATTTTGATTCTTTGCCCATAAATAAATACCTATTCTTAATCTGGAACTCCAAATTCGCTCCTATAACTGCCAGCTTCGATGAACTTCATTTGACTGGAACAAACGCTAGGGCTCACGTCAGGCTTCCTTAGACCACTTCTTTACACAATCTAGACCTGTGCATTTTAATACTGATACAGGAGTCAGACATTACGTGAGCGAGCTCGTTTATTAACCTGCGGCGCATGATTTTGCATTCAGATCCACGGTAAAGAGATCTGACGGACTTTAACAGAAAAACAAACAAGCTCCGTGTTTCCTCAGACAGTCACATGCATTCGCCATAATCAGCCTGGCTCACACACAAAGGGTAAACATTATCTAACTATTGTGGATTTTGGCCAGTCTTTAACTATTTGTTTTCTTAAATGACCATGCAGGTTACATAAGGAGAAACACTGGGTTGCACAAGGGGAATCAAAGAATAATCAAACCAAGAAACCCAAATTTATTGCTAATTAATATGGGTTAAAGCTGACAAAATTGGGCAAAATTCTAATTTGAAACGCCTAAAAATTTATTTTATATTTAAAGGTGCACTTTCTGGTAATTCTTTCTGGTAATTTTTTTTTTTTTTTTAAGCCCTAGAATGGTCAACAATATGACATTAAACTTGTCTGTCTCACATTTTTTAAATTCAAAGCTTTTTATTTATTTTTTTGCTCAAAAATTCCTTGGAAAATTAGTGGGAGTGTCAACTGCGTGACTCCATAGAGACGGAAAGATAAAACCATACTGTTTTTATTTTCAAAGTTCAAAAGTTTTAAAGTTTAAAAAAAAAATATTGTCAATTCTTCATACAAAAACATATCGAATCAGAATCAAAATTGTGTTACTGACTCCCATACGTATAAATAAATAATAAATGTTTTGGCCAATAGTATATTTGGTCTATATTTTGGGGGGAAAAAAAAGTGACATACTGGGGCTAATGAATCAATACTTTAAATAAACAACAGTAATCAATCGAGCCATATAAATCCATATAATTTGTCCATGTTGGGAGTAATTTAAGCACATTGAGCTGTAAATTAAACGATAAATACGATTAAAAAAATAAATAAAAATAATAAATCTTTCGAACTCACCTCTTGGCTCCACGTGAAAACCGTCCAATCAGCGATGGGCTCCGATAATTCCGCGGGCTCTGATTGGTTGAAAGCTGCCCTCGCGGCTGCTTCGGTGCGGTTGTCATGGCTACACGTGTCCACCACCGCCGCAGCCGTTAAAATGTCCAAAAAGAAGAGAAACGCCGAGAAAACGAAAACGAGCGATAAGCGCCAGTAAACAGCCAACTGCAGCGGGGACATGGTGATTGTTTTTAGGGTTTAAAAAAACTTCCCAGCGACGATAAATCAGATATTCTCCCAGATTTGGACAGATAAAAGTGCTAAAACGTGCAAAAACGTGAAAAAAGACGGGAAAATAACGAGATAAAGCAGTAAACGGCTATTTCCACTTGAGACATAATTGTCATTCGAGGTCATTCAGTTCGCGGTGCGTTGTTAGCTAAATAAATAAAATGTTTTCCTTTTTTAATTCAAAAAGATGTAACTTATTTTTAATCCCTGCACGTATTAAATGTTCCAAGCGGTGTAAAGTTATAAAAAAGTATCCCGAGTTACGCAGAAGGCAGCCGTCACCACCGGGGCTTGAGAGCTGTCCACGCCGCCTGATGTCCGCGCCTCATGTCGGGCTGAGTCGGGCTGAGCCTCCGCTGTCTGCCCCCGGTTCTCCTATTTCTCTGCGCCCACAGCTGCGTCTGTCATTTGTCAGCTCTCAGAACTGTCAAAACAAGACCCCGGTGACTCCAGTGAACTCTCCTCGACAAACTTTAACCACTCCTCTTTTCTCTTTAGGGTCACGACACGAGAAAAACACTTTGACAGACTGCAACGGTTTAGCCTCCAGCGGTTCGTCCCACGGATCCCCGAACAGGTAACCGCTAACTGGCCGCCATCTTGTGTCCGAGAAAACGTATTGCAACACGTAAAAATGCTTAAAAATATTACTCAAAATTTTCTCTTGTGAACTTTATGCCATATTAGAATGTTGTTTCCTCATTTAAAAAAAAAAAAAAAGTTCAGGTCAGACCAAGTTCAGTTCAGTGGTTTTCTATTGCACTGTAGTTAAATGCATTTTTGTTATGGGTTTTTAATCACAGCTTGGTTTTAACTGTAATTTAGGAAACTCTATTCAAGGTATAGCTTAATAATTGTAGTATAAAGGTTCTATATTACACAAATATTGACTCTTATGAGCTTTAAGCCATGTTATAATGTTGTTACCTCCTCAAAAACAGACCTAGAGTTTTGTTTCATTCACACATTTGAGTAACCCCCTTTATTATTAGTCTGTCTACATCTCCAAAGCTCAAAATACTGTGTTCCATCCATGGATCTATAATAAGAACTTATTATTAGGGAGTCCAAACGTCCCTTTTTACCTGGGACAGTCCCAGTTTTGAGCCATGTGTCCCCTGTCCCAGCAGATTTATGTGATTTGTCCCAGTTTTATACAAGAAATGTCCCAGGTGTCTCTCTTTTTGACCAATTTGTTCCCTGTCAACAGTAAAGAGAGGCATAAATTGTTATTTATTTAGGTAAAATACAAGCTGCTTAAAAATGACAAAAACACAAAGAAAATGTGACTATACTGACTCATGTTAGTCATGACTGGGCCAAGTGCAGAACAGTTTTCTTTAATTATGCGCTCGTTTCACAATTTTATTATTACCAACCACTCCAAACCGGGCATGTACCAGTTTTTGATTTGAAAATCTGGTCACACTACTTATTATACTTCCACCTTGTGATGTCATGAGGCGGTAGTGTTCAAGTTAGCAGTTCCAAGGCTGAAATCATTCAAATGATTCGATTGTGTACTGAGGTTTTAAAACACAGTGGAGCACTTCCTGTATCACCATATGACATCACAAGGTGGAATGTGTTTTCAGTTTCAAAGAAGAACACAGCCAAAATATGCAGCTCTACTGTGTTAATGAAAGAAAACACAACTTCGTTTACGTTTTTGATGAGGAAACAACATTATAACATAGATCAGAAAAAGCGTAATACGGGCCCTTTAACGTCTAACTTTTTCAATCATTTATTTTCTATATGTTATTATTTTAAGTATGCATCATGTGACCAATTGACTGTTTTAGATACCCCTCATTTAACTTAAAGGTTGTCTCACTTTTTTCACTGATCTCACGCGAATTACAAAAAGAGAGATTTACAATTTCTCGCAAAAAAACATCAATATTTTCTGGGTGTACTGGCTTTTAGTGTCATAATATAATGGCAACTAAATAATTTTATGTCATATAATTAATCATTTCTAGCCTAAATTCAATCTTTAAGCATTTCTTTTTTGACAAATATAGTTACTTTAAATGTTTATGATAATACAATGGGCTACTGAGTGTGATTTTGTCCAAGTCCAAGTTGTTTTTGAGTATGGGCCAGCATTTTAGACTTGTTTTTAGATTTGTTTTTAGGGGGGACACCCATAGTCTCCTCTCTTAATGAAAAGCACTGGTGTTAATACAGTTATAATGATTTATGAGCTTAAATTTCCACATCCTACCACATTCAACCATATCTTTTTCTAAATTTGAAGCCTACAATTTGACTAGATGCTCACCTTTTGCCCATAAACCTAGAATCAGAATGAAGTTCACATTTTGCACACGTCGTTTTCTTGTCAAATTCAGGTAAAAACCAGTTGGCGGATGTTCTTGTGACCTACATACAGTGTATTACCTTGGCTTGAATTAACTCAAACAATGGACAAAAATTTGACAAAAATGAGTCAGGACTGCCAGCCTTACTGTACTTCCACTGTCAACAACATCGCCCCATGTAAGTTCAAAACAGTGCCCAAGTTTAGGCTACACAGAGAGAAATTATGCATTATTTATTTCACATCCAGGAAGTAACTGAATTCGTCATACATTTTCTGAATACTAATTTTGAGTAACTGCATTAGACTTAGACTTAGACAAACTTTATTGATCCACAAGTGAAATTGTTTGTTCTCAGATAGTTACTTTTTCATTTCGTGGAGCTCAGAATGCAGTTACTTTTCTAAAATCGAAGGAGTACATTACTATATTTGATCCTTCGTTGAGAAAACTGAAAACTCTGCTCTTGTGTCTCTTAGTTAAATAAGTAAAATAAAGCTGTTTTTAATAGTATGTTTCGTCTTTACACTATAATTTCGATGTAAAAGTATTCAAAGTACTCAGAAACAGTACTCTGATTGGACCATGTATCAGAAAACGTTACAAAATACATTTTAGTACAAGTATTCTTCCCAACACATCTGCATTACTAGTGCAACAAGAAGTAATGACAAGTGACAGTTTAGCCTACTTATGTTTTTTTCTTTTCTCTTTCTTCTTTTTTTTTGTAAACGGGCTACACTTTCACATTTTTACACAGGAAAAACGCACATACAGTACTGCGCAAAAGTTTTAGGCAGGTGTGAAAAAATACTATAAACAAAGATCAAAAATATAAATAATGATTGTTTTTTTATTTATTTTTATCAAGTTACACCAAATATTGATTTAGATTTAGATTTGTCTTTTGTTCATTCACGGCATTTTGTTGATGGATGAGAATAAATGATTAACACTTTCATTTTTTAAGGCATCCCTATAGTTTACAGCATTTTCTCACGCCTGCCTATAACTTTTGCACCTCGCTGTACATGTTGTGAAAGAGGTTACGTTAAGTTCCCCACTGACCTACTTTTTAAAGGGCCCGTATTACGCAAAATTTAATGTTATAGTGTTGTTTCCTCATCAGAAACGTACTTGGAGTTGTGTTTTGTTTCATTCACAGGTATTTAACACAGAGGAGTCAATTTTTCGTAATAGGCAAGGCAAGGCAAGTTTATTTGTATAGCACAATTCATACACAAAGTAATTCAAAGTGCTTTACAGAATAAGAAATACATAAAAATCACAATAAAAACAAATCAAAACATAAATAATCATCATAAAATTAAAGATTAAAATAAAAAACAGAGAGAGACGTTAATTACATAAATTAGAGAGAAGAGTGCGGAATGAAAACCTTTCAGTCGTACGCACAATGAAACAGAACCGTTTTGAGCCAGTGTCAAAGTAGAATCTGTCTCACATGTTCAGGAAGACTGGTCCAGGTTTTAGCTGCGTGAACCTGAAAGTCTGACTCCCCGTGTTTAGTCCTGACCCTGGGCACCAGCAGGAGGCCGGTCCCTGAGGTTCTCAAAGTGCGAGATGGTTCATGTGGCACTAACATGTCACAGATGGACTTTGGTGCTCGAACACAAGCAGAGCCGCTTTAAAGTCTCTGAGCCACAGGGGGCAGTGCAGAGACCTGAGCACAGGACTTATGTGCTCGTACTTCCTAGTTCGAGTCAGGACCTGAGCTGCAGCGTTCTGGATGTACTGCAGTGCCTCACAGCTCGTTTGGAGAGGCCAGTGAGCAGAACATTACTGTATCTTACCTACTGGAGACAAACGCATGGATAAATCTCTCCAAGTCTAATTTAGACAGTAAACCTTTGATTTTTGCTCTGTTTTTTAGATGGTAAAAGGCTGCAGATGTTATTGATTTGATGTGGCTGTTAAAGTCCATTATTACCCTGAGATTTCTTGCCTGATTTGAAGGTTTTAGAAAGAGAGAGACTGGAGGTGACTGCTGACACTGTCTCTTTGTTTCTGTGGACCAGACATTAATATATTACCTTTAAGAACAGCAAGACTATATTACATTTTAGAGACCTGGTGTTATCCTAAATTGTATTCACATTTTAGTTCATGGTCCATCTAGTGGTGGGAAATATATAAAAAAAAAATTAATCATATTGCAGTAGTAATAGTAGTAGTAGTAGTTATAACAAGTAGATAATACTATTTATTTCAAGGAGCTGCAAAAAGAGGACATTTAAAAATAAAGCAAGCCAAATTAAGAGTACAGTATTAGGTTATATTTTTTGTTATTTTACAGTTTACAAGTTCAAACTTATCCATAAAATCTTCTGCACAAACACTGACATTGACAAAAACATTGCAAAATTCATTTATTTTTGTTAATATCGTCCACCCTTGGTTCAGTTCTGGTTCATTTCAGTTCTCCATTCCTTCTTTACATAGCAAATAAATAAAACATTCCAAAGCATCACAATCACAATCATGAAATATTAGTAAACTGCGTCCACGTGAGTTCACGACGTTGTAAAAATCCCTGTGGTTTAACCTGAGCCAGAGACAGGTCAGAACTTTATGGTGGTGTTTTATGGTTCTTATCTGTGTATTTACTGGGCCTATCCACATGAAACAAAAACTGGCACAAGGTTCAGCGTCTTCTCTGCGTCTGGAATTATTTTTTTTCACAATAGCTTCAGAAAGCGGTGCCATTATTCAAACGCAAAGACGTGATTGTAGTCAGCTGAACAGACAAGTTTGTGGAGCTGATCGTAAACAAATAATTATGAGAAGTTTGATTTGACATTTGTGAATCATAAGTTTGGAGATTTCTTTCAACACCAAATTTCCCACAGAGTTTATTGGTGTTTTTCAGATTTCAGAATGTGATAATGTCATAGTCTGAGATGGAGGGCGACAGTTAGTTTTCCCCGTTACTTTGTTCTGTGCCATAAAATATCGAAAAGGTAAACGCACAAATATTGGACCTGATCGTTTCTATTATTATTGTTATTTATTTATTTTTATTTTTTTGCTTCCACCCACCAACCTTCTTAAAACTTCAACCTCCTACCAAGCACCCATTTACCCACTTACTCTTAAACTTTCATTGCTATAATATCATTCCAAATCCTATTCGACAACAACTACACTACAAAAAACAATATCTAGTTAAATTAAAATGACTTAAATTAACAACATTTGACTTTATTAGAGTTTATTCAACTTGACAAGTAAAATTATCCACCAATGGAATAAGTGTGTCTTTCTTAATTCAAGCAACGTTTGATTTTGTTTCTTTTTTTAAGTGCAAATAGTTGTTGTTTTTCTTACTTTAAGTGAAGCAAGATGTAATTTACGATTTTAAGTGCAAAAAGTGTCGTTCCATTGGGAGATAGTTTTACTTGTCAAGTGAAATTAACCACGATATTATTGTGTGAACTTTGACGATACGATATCACGGTATTTTGGTTATTGTTACATCCCTAATCGTGGTATGTGATGAATGATCCCCAGCCCTAATATTCATTTGAGCTGCCCCCATCTGGATTAAATAATATTTGTCTATAGAATGAAAACCCTTCATCTGAAAACATAACATTTTCAAATCCTATAACTTGAACATGACATTTCAAAACAAACAAACAAAACTTTCGCATTATAACAGCTACTAAACTGGTGGTGAATTTTACATAGTGCACATTCTCGCTCCCGTCATCGCGGTGTGGGTCCCGTGTTGACTGTGGTGACGATGGAAACTGCAGCAGCCGCCGGTGCCATATAAACAGGAACCAAACTCTGTAATCCAGCGACTAGACAGCGCCAACTGAACCTCAGAGCTTTACCCACGTTCTGCACGAAACAAAACACATTTATGAACGCAGAAATACTCGAACAACAAAACAGTTCTTCTCTCAAACTGAAAACGCTCGGTTCCAGCTTGTGATGTTACGTGGTGATACAGGAAGTGCTCCACTGTGTTTCTGAACTGATCGCGATTTTGATTTGTGTGTCAAATGATCTCCAAACTCATACAATCGAGTTGAAACAAAAGCTTAACAAAGTGTATTTTGGGATATTTTTAATATAAATTGTGTGTATTTATTAGATGTTTTAAATAGATTATAGAACAGCTGGATATATAGTTTATTTTGGATACATTTATGTTTTTCTATGCCTTATTTCAAGTTCAAAGTTTATTTTATTCTGTGCAGAGAAGACAAGAATTGTGGCTGTTTGCTGCAGGTGTTCTTGTTCTTGGAAAAAGGATCAAAACTTTACACACGACGGAACCCAAGCACTCCAAAGAAGTTAAAAAAAATCTCACGAGGAAAAAAATTTATAGTTAAAAAGGCCTTTATTTAGATGGACAAAGCCAACAAGTCTAGACCTGAATATATTTTATTCTTTTTATGTTTTATACATCGCAAAACTGCTCTAAGGTTCAAATTTGTAGCCTGTATTATTTTAAATTTGAAGGTTTTGCGTAAATTATCAGTAACAGAGTGTTTTTTGAGAGAGAAATGCTGAATAAATGAATCGTGTATCTAAAAAATAATCCTGATTTCAGTACTGACCAAAATAATCCATAATCGATCCATAATCCATAATTTTCCATAATCTATGCACCTTCACTAGAATCACTTGGATAATTTCAGCCCTGGAATTGCAAATCTCTACTGAACTAAAGGTAAAGTGGAGCTGTTAACTTGAAAACTACCACTTCATGACATCACAAATTGGAACAGAGCATTTTGAGTTTTGAAGATGTAGACAGACAAATAATAAAGAGTTACTCAAACATGTGTGAATGAAACAAAACACAAGTCCAGGTCTGTTTTTGAGGAGGGAACAACATTATAACACAACTTAAAACTCACAAGAGTCTGTTTTTTTCATTATTTTATTATAGTTTTAAATGAAAAATAACTTCATTACAATTTTACTTCAATTTACTGTGGATTTTAAAACACTGATATGCTTAAGTCCTGGTTTGTTTTATTGATACTTTGCAGCTGAGGTCATGAACATTCCCTGGGGGTGTGACGCTAACTGGAGGCTCTGCTCTGTCTGAAGTTTTGTTAGACTTTAATCTGATCTTTATTTTATTTTATTTTTACACAATCAGACCAGAAAGAAAGTTACTCTCACCTTTTTGTCGGAAATCAAACTTCTAAACAGGACCATGAACGCCCTGCGCACTCATCAGTCTCCTGAAAATATGTCGTTTAAACGTTTGTGAGAGACATCTAAAAACATTTTTTAGTAGTGCAATGTGTCACCATGGTAACTGATGAACATTCCACCATAGACATACATAAAGATACACCCCCAGAGTCAAAGTATCAATACTACAAATGCAAAGTAACAGTTCTCCCTCTTTCTGTGCTGTTGTCTTACCTTCCTGTACTTCTTGTATCTGATCTTCTTCTTCCGTTTCTTCTCCTCCTTCCTCTTCCGTCTCTCCTCCGCCTCCTCCATCACCTCCTCTTCATCGTGTTCCTCCTCCAGAGGTTCGTACTTATCGGGCAGCGCGCAGAAGTGGACGTCTTTGGAGGTCTTCTTCGTCTTTTTGGGTTTAAGCGGAGTGGCCGGTGCAGGTTTGTCTGCTGTTTCTAACGCGCCCATGGCTGTCAAAGGAGGCAAGTGTTTAATACGAGACTACATATGTATTTGACAGGTTTTCATGTTGTCCTTATTACTACCTGGTTTGGTTTAGTGTTGTCGGAAGTACTAAAAATCAAAACTAAAACTAATATCGAAACTAGATACTCATTTTTCGCAGGTATCGATACTAAAAAGTCCCATTCAAATGAGTCTCAACAAGTGCTTTAAAAGATGATTCCGATGGTGTGAGCCTTATCTCCTCAGGCAGGTCGTTCCAGTTCACTCTGCTCCACTTTGTGATGTCATGTGGTGATACAGCCAAGTGCTACATTGTGTTTTTAAACTCCACACACGTTCACTAGAATAATTTGGATCATTTCAGCACTTCTGGAATTGCCAAACTTTGCTGAACTAAAGGTAAAAGGAGCTGCTTCATTACATCACAAGTTGGAACAGAGCATTTTGAGCTTTGGAGATGTAAACAGACTACTAATAATTAAGTGTAACTCAAACTTTTATGAAACAAAACACAACTCCAGGTCTGTTTTTAATGAGGTAACAACATTACAACATGACTTAAAGCTCACAAGAGTCAATTTTTGTGTAATAAAGAACCTTTAAAACCAGAATTATAAAGTTATACCTTGACTACACTTTCCTAAATTACAGTTAAAACCAAGCTTTGATTAAAAAAAACATAACAAAAACGCATTTAACTACAGTGCAATAAAAAGACACTGAACTAAACTTGGTCTGACCTGAACTTTTTCTAGCCCAAAGAAATCCAAACACCAAACCAGGAGTAAACCGCAAAACAAAACTTCAAACTACATGCAAAGTAAAACAGTGTCTTAAAGAAGAACTGTGTTAAAACTTACCTCTAGTTTTCGGTCCTGTTTTGGTCCTGGGTTTGTGGACTTTGAGCGGACTTTGGTCTCGGAGGAGGAGTTTTGGAGTAACTTCAGAGGCAAAGGAAACACAGGGACGCGGCAGAATGGAGAATAGAGGACATCCTGGTTTTGTGTCCGTTTGCTTGTTTAAGAAGCGTTGACTGACCCAGTTTTCTGTTTACGTTTGGATTTAAACGTGAAAAATGACCTTCAAAAACAGGAACGCTGATTTATTAACAGCTAATGTCCAAGAAAGTGGAAAGTTGGAATGTTCTATAGTACAAGTGGTGTAATTGTCCATTTAGAGTCCAAGTTTAGCTCTAAAGTCCTGGTTTAGTTCTATTCTAGTCCTGCTTTAGTTCTAGTTTATGCTTTAGTCCTGATTTAGTCCTGGCCAAGTCCATGTTTAACTCTGCTTTAGTTCTGGTTAAATCAAAGTTTAGTTCTACAGTCCTGGTTTAGTTCTAGTTTAGTTCTAATCTGGTCCTGCTATAGTTCTGAGTACAATCCTGGTTTAATCCTGGTTTAGTTTTGTTTCTGTTCTAAGTTAGTTTCCTCCCTTGTTATATTTATAGTTTAGTCCTGGTTAAGTCCAAGTTTAGCTCTGCAGTCCTGGTTTAGTTCTGTCTTAGTTCTAGTTCTAGTCCTGCTGTAGTCCTGAGTTCAGTCCTGGCTTCAGTTCTTCTACTTCAAATCTGGTTTAGTCCTGGTTTAGTCTTGTTTCTGTTCTTGTTCTGTTTATACTGTAGTCCTGGTTAAGTCCAAGTCTAGCTCTACAGTCCTGGTTTAGTTCTAGTTTAGTTCTAATCTAGTCCAGCTATAGTTCTGATCTAGTTTCTTCCCTTTATTCTATTAATACTTGAGTCCTGGTTTAGTCCCATTTAATTCAGTCACCTTTCTAAATAAAACAATACAAAATGATTTAATGTATCAAAAATGTGTTTATTTTGTTTATTTATTTACCATATTTACAATAAAAACAGACTTTTCCTTGAAACCCACACATTAGCTGTAGCTGGGCGTGACTGGAGAGTGACGTCTGGGAGCCTGAAGAGCAAATGACGACTAGATTCATTTATTAATACAATTTAAAAATACTAAATATATATATATATATATATATGTAAATATTTATACCTGTCTTTTTTTGGTGCTTTTTGGAGCCGTCAGCAGCTTCTCCACTGTCAGCTGCAAAAGTAAAAATAAAAAGAAGTTTGTTGGCAATTTATTTATTTTTTTTAATCATATATATTTATGTTTTGCAGCCAATTTCATCAACATTTCGTGGAGGTGTGATGCTAACTGGAGGCACTGCTCTGTCTGAGGCTCTGTGACTCAAGTTAGACTTTAATTTGAGCTTTATTTTAACACAATCTGACCAGAAAGAGCTGACCAGAAAGAGCTGATTTAAGTGGAACTACATCAGGTGAGGTGTGTGCATTGTTGTGTCTCCATGGTGACTGCTGAACATTCCACCGTAGACATCCAAGTAGAACACCCCTAGCATGATGTTACAGCAAAACATCAATAACTAAGCACCTTCACTACACAGCGAACCGACCTTGGAGCTAACGCCTATTATTTTAGACTTTTTTTTTTTGCAGTGCATCCGTATGGTGAATCATTGAAAGTCTTAATGGTGTAACTTTTTTGGTGGAGGGTCCATCATCTGCTTGTCTCCATGGAGAGTTTATTGCTTTGCCAGGAATGTTCTAGCCTGATTTATCAGCCAGTTTCACTTCGTGGAAACTGTCTGACCTCGCAGCATTAGGATTCGTTCGCTCTACGGTAGGCGGGTACTTTTTTTATTTAACCAATCGCTGCTATTTGGTCGTAACGTATGTAATGCTCCAAATCCCGTAGGAAGAAGGGCAATAACGTCTTTCCCTTGATAAAATTCACCAAACATTCTCTTTGTTCCAGCTTTAAATCCTCGATCTCGGGAATCGCTGCCAACACAGAATGTCTGTCTTCATCTACATCCATCTCGACCGCTTTGTTTACTGTTGTGCTGTATGACAAAAAGAACCCAGACAGACGCTTGAGTTTGACGTCTACAACTTGACGTCTGCAAAAGTTTGAGGTTCCAGGGTTTTTGCGAACCGTCTAGTGTATTCTGATTCCTGACCTAGTCGCTGGAGAGAAATGAAATGGAGCAGAGGCACTAGATGGTGCGAGCCTGGGTATGAATGTTCCACAAAACTTTGCCTATCTCCGGGGAGACAAGATCAAATCTGTGGAGAGGCGACCGCACTTACAGCAATAATGCATGTTTTCGATTAACAAACACCTGTCAATAAACTAGAGTAGAAAAGTTAGTTACGTAGTGCAACTTTGAAGTGATCTTACCAGGAAGTCCCCTCTGTTCTGCGACAGGAGCAGGAGCACGTCTTCAGGCTTAGTCCCTCCTCCCGGCACTGCACTGGACTGAGCGAACTTCAGAAGAGCCTCCACTGAAACAGACACAAACAGATGCAGTAAGTACACCAGATGCCCTCCCGCAATCAGCTGTCTACGTTTATCCAGGCTGTTCCACAGTATGGCATTAAACTTTTCCATTACACATGTATCCAAGTACAAGTGTTACTATTTACAAAAAAACAAACTTAAAATTCTTCGCCTTCGTCCTGTGTTAGGTGTGATTCCTGGTCCTGCTTTCATCCTTGGTTTAGTCCTGCTTTAGTCCTGGTTTCATCCTGCTTTAGTCCTGGTTTAGTCCTTGGTTTAGTCCTAGTTTAGTCGCTGGTTTAGTCCTGGTTTAGTCCTGCTTTAGTCCTGGTTTAGTCCTGCTTTAGTCCTGGTTTAGTCCTTCTTTAGTCCTGCTTTAGTCCTGGTTTAGTCCTTGGTTTAGTCCTAGTTTAGTCCCTGCTTTAGTCCTGCTTTAGTCCTTGGTTTAGTCCTGCTTTAGTCCTGGTTTAGTCCTAATTTAGTCCCTGGTTTAGTCCTTGGTTTAGTCCTGCTTTAGTCCTAGTTTAGTCTCTGGTTTAGTCCTGGTTTAGTCCTAGTTTAGTCCCTGGTTTAGTCTCTGGTTTAGTCCCTGGTTTAGTCCTTGGTTTAGTCCTGCTTTAGTCCTGGTTTAGTCCTAGTTTAGTCCTTGTTTAGTCCTGATTTAGTCCTTGGTTTAGCCCTGTTACTGGTCCTGTAAATTACTGCTATCTGGGCTTTCACCACAAGATGTCACCCTAACCCTTTATCTGTCAAATGTGTGCTTATATTTTATTTTGTGTCTTTATCTTGAATGTTCCACAGTATGGCATTAAACTTTTCCATTATACATGTATCCAAATACAAGTGTTACTATTTACAAAAAAACAAACAAACAAAAAAAAAACTTTAAATTCATCCTGTGTTAGTCCTGGTCCTGCTTTCGTCCTTGGTATCATCCTGATTTAGTCCTGCTTTAGTCCTGGTTTAGTCCTAGTTTAGTCCTTGGTATAGTTCTAGTTTAGTCGCTGGTTTAGTCCTAGTTTAGTCCTTGGTTTAGTCCTGGTTTAGTCCTGGTTTAGTCCTGGTTTAGTCCTGGTTTAGTCCTGGTTTAATCCTGTTTTAGTCTCTGTTTTTTTTTTGTTTCTTGTACCTCTTTGCTGGTTTTCAGATGGCTCCAGCTCGTTCAGTGGCCTCCACAGCAGCAGTGCATTATGGGAGTCGGAGTGGGCGTGTCTTCGGGCTCTGAGTTTCGGGATCTCGGCCTGGAAGCTCCGCCCAACGTTGATACACCTGAGAACGTAAAATAAAAGGTAAGATTATTTAATCAAATCCATAAAAAGCAGAACAACTGTACTTACGGTGCAGTGGTTTCTGAGGTTAGTGTTCCCAATGAAGCTGTCTCCATCGCCACAGCGCTACCTACAGATAAACAACAGTGTAAATAAGGTTAATAACAATAGCTGGAAGGTGAGCTGCTTCTTAGTGAGCACAGAAATGATCAATGAGTCTGCTGAAGGTGTTTTGAGCTCTGAAAGACTGACTCAACATAATGAAAAAACATAGACTGTTTATAAATGGACATACAGAAGCTAACCTGCTCTCCGCTGTGTTCTAAATGGGAAGTGAGCATGGGTGCATTTACGGCTCCATCGACTCTGGATCCAGTTGATTTTACATTGAAAAACTGTCTCCTCTTTCTGTAATTTCTGCAGCGAGCCTCATCATTTTGGTCTTAAAATGTTCGTATTAACTCGCTCTACATGATCCTGGGGTTTTTATTTCGCTATTTTGTCTGTTAATAAATTCCTAATATGGAACTCAGCCCCAAATTTGCTCCTATAACAACTGCCTCGATGAGCTTCATTTGACTGGAGCCAAAACCCACACTCACTTAGTTCACTTCTTTATACAGTCTATGAGAAAAACAAACATGCACGAATGAAACAAAACACAACTCCATGTAGGTTTACAAAAGGGTTATGAGATTAAATAATTAATTGCCTTTTTTGTTTTAACTGAATAATGTAGTTCAGATTTGGGGCTGGAGGTTTGTCTCCATGGAGATAGTATTGCTTTACATGCAATATAATTCCATAATGAGTGCATGCCACAGTATCCCGGTTACTGTCGGGATATACCAGCTACAGTGTCCCGGTTTCTCATACTTCGCCCTTTATCTGAGAAACTGAAACCAGGATACTGCGCATACATGCACCATAATGAAACCGGGACGCTCAGAAAACCCGGGATACTGATGTGCACGTATACGCACTCAATATGACCAGAGGTGGCGCTACTATTAGGCAAAAGTAAGCGGCCGCATAGGGCCCCCAAACTTGGAGGGGCCCCCAACCAATTTCCCTCAGTGACACTAATGGCCGAGACCTCAGAGCAATTTGGTTTACTCTCTATGACATTAAATGAGAATAGTTTACTTTTAAACAATAATCATAAAAAATAATAATAACCATATATAATGGATGTAAACAAAACTGCAACTGTACTAGCAAAAAATTTTTACTACTTTCAGTTCTGGTTACCTAGTATGTGACTGAATTAATAAGACAAGTTTCCAATCCACCATAATTCAAATAAATAGAGAACAATGAGAAAAACAGACAATGAATATATTAAAACCAAACAAAACAAAACAAAAAACTGTGCATTATAGTGAGGGCCCCAAACTCAAGTTCGAATATGACATAAGTTAAACTTTTACTCAATTACCAGAAAAGTCACACAGTGCGGCTTTAAACTCACATTTGTTTGCCAGGGCCCAGTGCAGCCCGGCGCCTGCTCTGGTGGGGCTGAGGATCGGGGGAGGCCTGTAGTGACTTCTGCCCCCGTCTATGGCCACTCTCATCAGGCTGCGATTCTGACTCTGCTCCTCGTGAACCTCCAGCTCCTCCACCTCCGCCATGACACAGCGCCGCTGCAACGAAGGGGGCGTCACCACGGCAATGTCCACAGGTGCAGGGCGCTCTGGTGCAGCCCGCTCAGGTGCAGCCCGCTCAGGTGCAGCCCGCTCAAGTACAGGCGGCTCTGGTGAGTCTTTGACCTGGAAATTACAGTTTTGGTCAAACTCAGAGACAGTTACAGCAACATTAATAATAGCTGGACAATTAGTTGCTTTTTTGGGGTTTTTTTTGGTGAAAACTAACCCTTTATTTTAGACCTCTATATGAACGTTCTGAAATGACTGAAATGTGTGTCAGATTCCCTCCTTGTATCTTCATGGAGATGCTGTGTAACAGCTCCTGACCTTGTAGTTTAGTCCTGGATTAGTCCTGTGTTAGTACTGGTTTAGTCCTGTGTTAGTTCTGGTTTAGTCCTGTGTTAGTACTGGTGCGGTCCTGTGGTAGTGCTGGTTTGGTCCTGGTTTTGTCTTGGTTTAGTCCTGCGATTTTTGAATTGCTGAATTTAAAGAAGACTGAATTCAGATTTCAGTTTTCTCTTAATAAAGAATACTCCTGGATGTGTAAACTGTATTTTACACATCCAGGAGTAACATATTTAATATGATTAATTAAAATATGTTTTCACCGTGTTTTACCTCCTCAAAAACATACTTGGAGTTGTGTTTTGTTTCATTCACATGTTTGAGTAATCTTGGTTTATTGGTCTGTCTGCATACAGAGTTTGTCTGTCTATAAAGCTCAAAATGCTCTGTTCCACCTCGTGATGTCATGTAACAGTAGTTTTCAAGTTAGCAACTACCTTTTGCCTTTTGTTCCAGAAGAGACTGGCAGTTTCAGGGTTAAAATCATCAACATGATTCTAGTGAAAGTGTATGGAGTTTAAAAACACTCAAAAAAGTCAATCCTGTATCAGCATATGATATCACAAGGTGGAACAGAGTGTTTTCTGAGAGAAGAACTCAGCTTAAATATTCAGAGTTTGTGTGTTAAACATGTGTGACTGAAACAAAACACAACTTCAGGTCTGTTTGTGATGAGGAAACAACAAATAATAATAATAATATGGACCCTTTAACTTGATCTTATATTATTATTTAAACTATAAACAAAATTCAACTCAGTGCTGACCTTTTTCTTGTCTGTCCGACTTTTGCGTGGCCTCGTCACTCCTCCACCTCCGCCCGCTCCTCCTCCTCCTCTTCCTCTCGTCGTCTTCCTCGGCTTCGTCTGTTTCTGAATCACATCGTTTTGGACATTTGCTGTTTCAGAATTCACAGTAAACATTCCCGGCTCCACAAACGTCTGATACGCCAGTCTCTCCGTGCAGTTTTCACTCGTCGGACTCGTCACGAAGGAGGGGGGATAATGCGGACTGGGCCCTGGTGTGGACGGACTCAGGAAATTCTGGTTTTCCTGGTAACTATTGGGATAAAATGGGATAAAGCTGTCCGTGTTTGAAGTGAAGTTGTATTCCGTGGAGCTCCAGGATCCCAGGGCGGCGTCTCTGGAGGTGTAGCCCAGAGAGGAGCACTGAAGCTGGGGCGTGGTCGGCTCCATCGCCCCCCAGTGGGACATGTCAGCCGTGGAGGAGGTTTGCGGGTAATAATTGTTGGATTGGAGACACTGAGGATCGGGATAGTGGAAAACGTCAGACTGAAAAGAATCGTAGTTGAATGCAGAGTTGAACAGATTTTGGGAGGATGCTGGGAGATCCCATTCCTGCAAACAAAATGAACGTTTTTAATAGATTGTTCATCAAATGCTTTTCTTTATGGAGATGTTATTGCTTTGCCTGGAATGTTTTATACTATGACATTATTATTATTATTATTATTATTTGTTTATTTATTTCATATAGGCTATAAGGATATAGCCCAAAATGTGAAAACAGGAAAATACCACTGTGTAATCCATTTACTTTAACAAAGTAACTGTAATCTAATTACCACTCACTGAAACAGTAACTGTAACTGAATACAGTTACTCATAATTTGTACTCTGATTACGTAACTCCAGTACATGTAATCTGTTACTCCCCAACACTGCGTATACGTTCCTTTTAAATTGTAGAGGCTTGTTCTTGTCTCAAACTTTGCACTTTACTTTATACATGACTCTGAGGACACTTCAGTCAACAACATCATACATTTTCAACACTTTAAGATGAACAAATAACGGGTTGGACGGCTCTCTGCGGTATAATGACTGTTGGTGATAATTTCCAAGGCCCTTTTTTGTGAAATAAATAACGACTGTAGGTGAGTTTTACATGTTGACCCTCAAATTTCCACACAGTACATCAGATATGGTGCAATTATAGAGCTATACAAGGTTAATAACTCTGCATTAAACCTTTCTGTCTTCATAGAGTCCAAACCAGAGCAAGTTACAGGTCAGCTCTGCAGAGAGGCGAACCCGCTCACACTCAGAATGCCTGTTTTTAATTATAATGGATATTTATTTATATTATATTAGTTTTTTTATTTATATTAGGTATTTTTAAGCGATAAACCCACCTGTAATTGAATAAATGCAAAGTAGAGCTGTTTAATGTCACAATGAGGAACATTCCAGGCAGAGCAATGACATCTCCATAGAAACAACAAAGTGACATAGTGCATCTTCATGACAATACCAGGATAAAATCAGATCTACAGCAAGTTTGTTTAGAAATTAACTACCAATATATCCACTTTTTATCTCAATAATGTGAAAAACAGAACTATTTCTAACTGTTTTTTAACAGTTTGCAGCGGTTCAAGGTAATTCCTCAATCAACTTATACATTCTGACCAAGATTTGTCATCATGCGGTAAAGCTAACCACACCTATCATGCTAACAAAGCACTTCCTGATTATCAAGAAAGCAGTAAAACACCTTATGATCAGACGGTATACAGTGGACATACTTATTCGAGTGCTACTTATACAGCTACATAATGGCGTTACCTGTGTTTCTCCAGGGAAGTAGATAAATTTAATGCCATACTGTGGAATTTTCCAACCAAAAACAGTAACAAAACTATAACATACATAATTACATACTCCTTAAAAGCATATTTGCATGTCAAGGTTGTCTACAAAATGAGATACCATGTCTTTAATCAACATTTGCACAATTTTAGCTTTTGTAAATTAGAATTTTTATTTAATTTGAAAATCAAATGACAAAATTTTTACAACTTTAAATTACAGGTGTGATAGTTACCTGTTCCGTGTAGCCGCTAAGCATGCTGGGAAACTGCGCCGGGCTCCAGTCGCTGCTCTCCAGAGCCGTGTCCAGATTCTGCCCCGCGAAATGATGCTGAAAAATAAAGCGCAAAACAGAATTTACTCAACAAACTTCTCGCTCTGAGGTGTCAAAGTGTTGAAAATCAGATATGAACCGATGCTGAAACTAATATCGAAACTAGATCCTCTTTTTTCGCAGGTACCGAGACTAAAAAAAGCCCCATTCATAGGACTCTGAGTAGTGAAATCGAGTGTGAAATTTGAGTTTACCTGCGTTTGTGACTGGTTCATGAACTGTGAGCTGGGCTGATGATGATTATGATGATGATGATGATGTTGAGGAGGAAGAGGAGGAGGCGAGGTCATGAAGGCGGAAGGTGGGAGGGCGCAGGGGTGCATTCTGGGGGATGCGGAGGAGGAGGGGGGAGGAGGAGGAAGAGGAGGAAATGGTCTCGGGTCCGTCATCGTGTCAGTACGGGCTGTGGTTTCTCATTTTCGACATTGACCTGCGAAAAACACAACAGGAAGTCAACGGCATTATCTCAGTCACATCTCAAAACTACTGCTGCATCAGACGACAGAACTGACACTCTAACATAGGAAATATACAGAATTCTGCTTCGTTTTAAACATTTTCCACAAACTGTTTCGAGAATTTCTGCAAGACACACATTTAAACTTCAATTTCTTTTATTGATCACGGTTAGAAATGCCCAAATTTTTACGTTATAATGTCGTTTCCTCAGCATAAACACACCCGGAGATGTGTTTTGTTTCGTTCACACATCTTTAACACGCAAACCCTGCAACCCTTCACCTTGTGATGTCATGTGGTGGTACAGGAAGTGCTCCACTGTGTTTTTAAAGTCCACACACCCTCACTAGAATCATTTGCATTTGCCGATCTTTACTGAAATAAAGTTTAAAAAAAAAGGAGAGCAGTGAACTTGAAAACTACCGCTACGTGACATCATGAGGTGGAATTTACTTTTATTCACGTTCTCTAATAGATCATTCCTCTAATATATGAACAGTTTTATCAAATCAAACTTTATGAACGCTTAAGTCAAGTTAATGTGATAGAAAATAACACCGACACGAACTAAAATTACTTACTTTTGCTTCTAAAATTCTCACGATTATTTTTAGTTCTTACAATTGTGTCTTGTAAACAATAATGGGAAGAATCAATCAAAGTATTCTATATTCTGAATACTTAGAATACTCATAAATTATTGAGTAAAAGTAGAATTAAAACAGCTTTATGTCTGTATTTCAGTGTTTTCTATGCACTGACGTCACTAATTACGACTACTAACCGAAGTATCGTGATATTGTATCGTCAGAAGTCTCACAATAATATCGAATTACAAGTTCCTTTGCTTAAATGTGCTGTTCTTTAGTAGGAACAGCTCATACATATCGGGAACTACATCTCCCGTGATTCATTTCAGCGCAGACAAGATGAAGAAATATGTCTTTTCCTTGAATTCTTGGGATTATGACTAATAATTTGCACCAAAATCTTGTCAAGGTCTTTTAAAAGCAAAAAAGTGTCCTATCTAGAGTTATATTTGCCACTCCAAAATATCGCAATAAATATCGTATCGTGATAATATCGTACAGAGAGATTTGGATATCGTTACGTCCCTACTGATTACACTGTTCACTGTCTCTGTTTTGTATATTTGTCTCTAATATTGTGCAGTTTGAAGCCTAAAATTTTGTGAGCAAGTGCCGCCATGTGTTCATTTGGTTTTAGAAAAGTCACTGTGTTCTGATTACCTCTAAATGAAAATGTAATTCGTAAATGAAGATAAGAACACATCTTCTCTGTGCATGTATTCAGTCACTTCCCAGCACTGTTTGTAAAACCACGACTACTGATTTAGCGATTCATTTGGAAATCCTTATATGACCCTCTCAGTCTCGTGTTTTAATAGATCACTGCTGTAATTACCGTAAATGGTCACAGTATTTTGAGAGCCGGGGCTGTGTAATCTTATTTAAGGCGACCTTTATTGATCCACAAGGGAAATTATTTGGACACAGCGGCTCACACATCGCAATATAATATAATAACGAAGAGCAAAAATATAAATGGTAATAATAAATTCTAAAAAAGCACCAATAATAGCAAGAGACAGATGTCAAATAAGGCATAATAATGATCCTCTATCAATAAAAACGTGGTTTGGAGCAGACGGAAGACTTTAGAAGAACACATTTAAAATTGTACGTATATAAAAAATGAGAGAGAGGGAAATTCAACATTTATTTACACTGCGCCTCTCGGTCGCCTTTGTGTCTCTGCAGTTGAATCGTATGTTATGATCAATGAATACAAGCTAAAAACATATTTATTTTCCTACGATAACACATTTTGACGTAATATATATCGCCTGGGGAAATGTTGACGGTAAACGAGAATATTTAAACTAATTTATAAAGATGTGACAAGACACAATTTCCACACGACGAGACGAGATGCGAGATTGGATCCACTAGACAAGACAAGATTTTAACATAATTCCTAATATATACATTTTGTCCGGATGTAACAATAAAAATATCGTGATTTCATATCGTCAAAGTTCTCACAATAATATTGTGGACCATCACAATATATCGAACTACAAGTCTATTTGCTTAAATGAAGTGTTATGGTGCAGCAACAGCTAAAAAAAACAGAGAGAACTACATAGACCATGATCCTTTGCTCCGTTTTGGCGCAAACTACATGAAGAAATAACAGTGCTAAACAACTTTAAGTCTTAGTTCTTTAGATTAAGTCTTGTCAAGGCATTTTAAGAGGAAAAAGTAGCACAAAAGCACAAAATATCGCAATAAATATCGTACCGTGAGATGTATATCGTGAAAATATCGTATGAGATTTGAAAATTGTTACATCCCTAATCGTGAGCCTCCCCACCATATCGCGAGCTTTCCCACGATATCACAATAAATATCGTATCGTGAGCCTTGGATATCGTTACACCACTAACATTTTGTGATTGTCAGTTTCCAGTTTAGTCATCAGAATTATTATTATTTATTTTATTTCATATTTTACTGCCATTCGAGTGCTGCTTTTTGGAACTATAAGAGATGGAACTCACCAATGCTTAAACCCATTTTTAAACCTGATTTCTCTTCTTGTGGCGATTTTGTAATGTGATATCTTGTGACGCGAGATCTATTTACACCACTGACACAATGACCAAAAAGCAGGATTATCCCAAAACAATGTACAATCTTGTCAAAAAAATACATACTAGCTGCAAAAAATAAAGCTTTAGTAGTTAGGGTACGTCTGGAATGAGCTGGAGAAGCTCTTTATTCAGCTCAAGTCCGAGTCAAGTCCGAGGTCAAATACAGGCAAGTTGAGTCGAGTCTTGAGTCACTGGCCAATCAGTCCAAGCCAAGTCCAAGTCGTCTGCTTTGAGTCATTTTACGTCTTTAAACCAAAGTACCAAATACAGCTTAAATTTTTGCAATTTATATGCATTTTAAGATAAATTGTACTTTAAAAAAAAATCATAGTATATTTATATATGAGTATTTATAAGAGTTTTAGAAAATAATTTAGTTAATTTTTCCTTTTTAAATGTCTTGACAAGATCTTAGAGTGAATCATTACAGTCAGAATAGTAAGAATGCAGATTTAAATGTGCTTCTCAAGTCTTCTCAGTCAAGTCAAGTCCCAAGTCATCGACCTTCAAGTTTGTGTCGAGTCCCAAGTCTTAGCCCATGTTATCAAGTCAAGTTTCAAGTCCTGAAAATAGTGACTCAAGTCTGACTCGAGCCCAATTCCCAACCTCTGGTAATCATAATCAAATAATTATTCGATAAGTTGATGACAGGCCTATGTACATGTACCAGCCCTGAAAATCCAACTTATTTTAAGATATTAAAAGAGTGAATCATGTTGTCTTTATCTTTAACAGATATGAGAAAACATAAAAAATATCAGAGAGCTGCACGGGAGAAACTCACAGAGCACGAACCAGCACTGCATAAAAGCCATAAAACCATATAAGCTTTCACCGCCATAATTCAAATCTTTGTTTAATCAGAGTCTAAATCTTACTGTCTTACTTTTTTTTTTTCTTCTAATTTTAGAATTCCCATAAACTACATAGCAACACTTCCTGAATCTATGACAAAACAAAAAAGACTTGCAGCTTCAAATATGGCTAGTTCTTGTACGTTTTTTTTTGTTTATTCTTGCTTACCTGTGCTCCAGAATGCATTTAAATGACAGAAATTCTACAAAAAACACAACAGTTTGCACGTATAAACACCGTGAAATCAGGTTTAAATTGTTTCGCAGCTTGGCCAGAGCAAAGAGTTTAACAGTTTTGAGTCGACTCCTGTGTCACTTCCCCATTTAAAAAGTCTGCTGCACAAAATGGACTCACTTTTGCATAATAAGAAGTAATCATTTATTTATAGACGTAAAATCACTCACCTATAGAAGAGTTTGCGAGGTTCTTGGCTGCAGTCTCTGTCAGGATGTGGCTTTAAGGTCTTCCTCTCTCAGCTCCATTCGTCTCTTCCCCGATGTGACGTTTGAGACACGAAACTGAAGAGGTTTAATGTTATAGGTCAAACGGGTCTCCAAGGCTGAGACGATGCATCGGGTTTAATTTGGTCTAAAATGAGATAAAGCAAAAAAAGTAACAGACCTACTTCACTGAAATGTCCTATATTACACAAAACTGACTTGTGAGCTTTAAGTCGTGTTGTAATGCTGTTACTTCCTCAACAAAACCTGGAGTTGTGTTTTGTTTCTTAGACTTAGACAAACTTTACGGACACACAAGGGAAATTATTTAGACATAGTAAGAATCTGGAGTCAAATAAGCCAAAATTATACAGCATAAATGTATACACTACCCTCCAAAAGTTTTAAAACCTCACACTTTTTTCAATTTTTTTACCGAAAATTATTTAGTTTGTCGTGTCGTTGCACTCTGAAATGAAAGTATAGAACAAATTTGAGTTGAAAAAGGAATCACGGAATCAATTTATAGACCAAAAACATATTCTAAACTTTAACTCATCACCAAGTGTCCACCTTTGGCAGATAAAACAACTGAACACACCCGTGGCTCGTTCTTTTTACAACAGAAATCAAATATTCTTCAGAAAGTTCTTCCCAAATCTGTTGCAGACGTTCTCATAAATGTGTGGCACTTGTAGGTTTCTTGGCTTTCACTCTTCTGTCCAGTTCATCCCAAACCAGCTCGATGGGGTTTAAGTCTGGAGACTGTGCTGGACACTCCATGTTTTCAAGCTTTATCGTCTTGTTCTTTTTTTCTGAGGTTTTTAGTAGGTTTTTCCTGAGGTTTTTAGGTAGTTTTGGCAGAGCTTGAACTTGTGTTTTGTTATTTTTTTTAAATCTTTTTTTAACCTCTGGCTATTCAGTTCTACCTTTGTACCATTTCAGGCTCTTCATTGGGCTTGCACGACTTGAATTACAATAAATAACTAGAAAAATTAGGGTGTTCTAAAACTTTTCACCAGTAGTGTATGTACAAGTAAAAATAAAATAGAAATAAGTAATAAAATTATCTTAGCCGTAAACAAGAGGTCAGAAAGATGTTATAATGGCTGACAGGACATAGGGTTATCTGTTACGTAAGTGTGAGTTGTTGTACAGTTTCATTCACACACGTTTGAGTAATCCTTTATTATTAGTCTGTCTACATCTCCAAAGCTCAAAATGCTCTGTTCCAGTTTGTGATGTCGTGCAGTGGTAATTTTCAAGTTAACAGCTCGTTTTACCTTTAGTTCAGTAGAGATTGGCAATTCCAGGGCTGAAATTATCTAAATGATTCTAGTGATTCTTGTATTTATTACATTACAAGAGTCTTTATGGCTCAAAAATGCGCATACCTACTTTGAAGAGGCTCGCTTGGTACAGATCTGACCTTTAACTTGTCTGTTTATTGCATAAACTGTGTGGACATAGTGAAGTGAGCAGGTGCGCGCTTCTGGCCCCTTAAACTCCAAATGACATCACACTGTAAATTGCTGCCGCTCTATCTGCAACCGCTGCCGTGAGCCTCGTCATTTTGGTTTTAACATGTTCATGTTAACCCGCTCTACATAATGTTGGTGTTTTTACTGTGTCATTTTCAATTCCTGTTCATAATATGGAGCCTGGTTCCAGATTCACCTCTGAAACTGCCACCATCCTGACCTTCATTTGACTGGAGCGATGTCACACTCGCTTGGTTCACTTCTTTATACTGTCTATTTTAGTGCCATACTGTGGTACATTCCAGGCAAAACAAAAATATCTCCATGGCGACAAGCAGATGGCAGAACCTAGATTAGAAAAGTTACCCAGTTCCTTCTTTCTGCAAAAATGAGTTATGAAAGTGGCCAGAAGTGCCCTGAGGTTTCAAGCCCCCCTTTTATTTAAAATTAAAAATCAGATGAAACAAATTATCTTCCATGCTGGATCAGATACAGAGCTTAATGAAATTTTAAGTAAAATCCGAATTAATATTCTAACATTTGCTTAGATTTAGATATATTTAGATAGATAGAAGAAATGTGAAGAGGTAGAACTGCAGTTTAGTTGCTCTAAATTTTATCAAAACCTTTTACTAAATTAAAAAAAATATTCGTATTAATAACACTTATAATAATATGTCTCTGAAAGTTAAATATTTGTTTTTTTAGACATTTAAATTTTCCTGCTCGTGCTTTTATGCTGAAGGTTCTGACCGGATGTAGTCGCGTTTGTTTTGGTTAGCCTCTTCCGCTGCGTTTCGGGCATTCGTGTCGGGCATGGATCGAGTCGGGAGCAGTTCGTGAACCGTAAACACGTGAGCGCACTTCACTGCTTACACGAAACCTAAAAGACATTTGAGCTGCATTTGAAATAAAGCCTCGTTGTGTCACGGTTTTAAAGTTAACGCTGAAATTGTTCTGCGGAGCTAATGCTAAAGCTAATGCTCCTTCAGCCGCTGGGACAGTGGAGGGTTCGTGTCGTAACCAGTACGTCATAAACTCTAAATAATTACGTTTTTTAGATAATGTATGAATTAAACTATCTTTATTTAAATACTTTATTAATATTTCTACTTATGAACAATAACTTATTTTTCCCTAGTTGCTCTGTAAGTGAACATGGGGACTGTCAATGCATTTTAAGTAATTCATAATAAGTATTTATCAGAGGTGGAATCAAGTCTTTGTTTTGCAAGTCTCAAGTAAGTCTCAAGTCTTTAACCCCAAGTCCGAGTCAAGTCCCAAGTCAAATACAGGCAAGACCAAGTCGAGTCTCAAGTCACTGGCCCAAAAGTCCAAGTCAAGTCCAAGTCATTTCAAGTCTTTAAGTCTTCAAAGTACTAAATATAGCTTAGATTTTGGCGATTTCTATAAATTTTAAGATAAATTGAACTTAAAAAGTCATAGTATATTTATATATGAGTATTTATAGAGTATATAAGAGTTGTAGAAATGCATTTTTTTTTCCTTTTTAAATGTTTTGACAAGATCTTAGAGTGAATCATTACAGTCAGAATAGAAAGAATTCAGATTTAAAAGTGCTTCTCAAGTCTTCTCAAGTCACAGGCCTCAAGTCTCAAGTCATTGTCCTTCAAGTCCAAGTCGAGTCCCAAATCTTAGTCCATTTTATCAAGTCTCACGTCTTAAAAATAGTGACTCAAGTCTGACTCGAATCCAAGCCACGGCTTGCAAGTGCAAACCATTTTCTGTTTTATTTCTTCTTTCTCCGCTCATCTGTTACATTTGTTTACCCAAAGCTGCAAAATAAATAAATAAAAATAGCAGAAAATGAATGGGGATACATCTAGTTTGAAGATTAGTTAGAGATTAGAGTAAAGTGACTTGACTTCTATCATATTTTCATTTGTAAAGGTGCACTTTTTAACTTTTCTGTTCTATTGTTGCCATGGAGATATTATTGCTTTACCCGAAAGCTTTCACAGTGTGGCATTAAACTCATCTTTGCTGCATTTATTCAATTTCAGGTGTTTTACTGCTTAAAAATAAATGCATTCCAACAGTGAGTGAGCTTGCCTCTCCACAGATCAGAGCTGTTACTTAGTCTCCATGGAAATAGATATGTTTATTGCCATACTGTGGGACATTCTAAACAAAGCAATAACATTCCCATGAAGTTACAGAGCTCACAGCTTAATATTGTTCTATTTTTCTTATCTGTTTGGGTTTTTAAGTTTTCATTAATTTGCTTAAACTTACTGTATTTTAATTTGTTTTTTACAGATTTCTCATCATGTTGAGGTGACGCCATCAGCTTTCCAAAATGTTGCTTCTCCAGCGTCGTCTCTGGGCTGGTTTGTCCCCAGTTAGACCTCATTTCTCCTGCCTTGTTAGTGCCGGGATCCACTCTTTCTCCAAATTAACTGAAGATGGAATTCTGATTTTCCAGTCCAAATCCACAGACATCCACCAGAACTTGGCTCTGGAAGACTGGATCGAGACTAACGTGGATTTAACCGACCGCCGCCTGTTTCTGTTATGGAGGAGTCGCGCGGCCGTCGTGATCGGTCGACACCAGAACCCGTGGTCGGAGTGTGACCTGGGCGCCATGTGGAGAGCCGGCGTCCCGTTGGCTCGTCGGCGCAGCGGGGGCGGGACCGTTTATCACGACATGGGGAATTTGAACTTGACGTTTTTCAGCTGCAGAAAACTCTACGACCGTCAGAGGAACTTGAGGGTGGTGACGGAGGCGCTGAGGAAAGCCAGGCCAGAGCTGGACGTCAAAGCTACAGAAAGACTAGATATAGTTCTCAACGGAAAATATAAGATCTCAGGTAAAGCCATAAACTGTGTAAAGAAGTGGACTAAGGGAGTGTGACGTGTTTCTGAATTTATTTAAAGACAAAATAGTAGAGATGGTTCAAGATCTCATGCCACAAGACAAGAAAATTGTTCCAAGATTGTGCACACATGACAAAAATGATCTCTTTTTTTTATACAAGTATTTAAAATATATCATTCATTTTACCAGGTCTTTGACATTTTTTTAACCTGATTCATCAGCCGGTTTCACTTTGTGGAAACGATCTGACCTCACAGCATTAGAATTTGTTTGATTGACGGAAGGCGGGTACTTTTTGTATTTAACCAGTTGCTTTTTTTTTTTGTGACATATGTAATGCACCAATAATGGGGCTAACTGGTATATTAAGCTTTTCCCAAATCCCTTAGGAAGAAGGACAATAACGTCTTTCCCCTTGATAAAATTCACCAAACATTATTTTTGTTCCGGCTTTAAATCCTCGTTGCCAACACAGAATGTATGTCTCTTCGCTGATTGACTGGTGTCCGAACTCGCACTTCCGGGGTTCCTGCAAACTGTCTATTGTATTTTGATTTCTGACCTAGTCGCTGGAGAGAAGTAAAATTGAGCGGAGGCACTAGGTGGCGCCAGCCTTGCTAGCATTTTTTGCCCTAACAACATGAAACTTGGCCCTGCACACACCCGTACCGTTAGGATGACATCCTACCAAATTTGAGATCAGTTGGATGAGTGGTTTAAGAGTTAACAAACAAACCAACAGGAGGAGACACAGACAGACGTTCGTTGCATTAATAGATAGATTTGTTTATGTGTTTATATTTGAGTTGGACAAAAAAGATTTACTTAATGGTGAGTTACATCGCTTACAGTTCCAAAGAGCAGTGCTAGAATGGAAACAAAAATATGAAAATGTTGTCTGGCCAAAATTGGAAACTGAATTGTGAAATTTATGTATTAGGAATTATTTTAAAATCTCATCTTGTCTCGTTCTCGTGGGCTCGATCTCATCTTGGAAATTGTGTCTCATCCCAGCAATACAAAATAGTGAAATAATAATAATAAAATCAGAGTCGATGGAGCTGAAAGAACCCTCATGATCACTATTTATATATAGGAGTAGTATGTGGGTGAATGAGTTAGATGAAGATTTTGTAGTTTTTGGTATTTATATGTAATAAGGCACATTTAAACTCAGGATTCACATGTTTAATTTGTCTTAACATTGTTTCCTTGCACTTTTTTCTACATTAACAGTTGCTTTTGCATGAACTCCCCCTGCTGGTGTAGTCTTGTGAGTGCAGTTTAGGTCAGATACATAGAGATACGTAATAGTTTTGAGAGCTTTTAGTAGACTACTCAATCAGTATGTGTTTTTAGTCCACCAAGAATTCATTTCAGTCAACTGCAGCACTATTATCTACCTTTTCCAAAAATAACATCATTCTTATGTATTTAATCGCCTTTGTTTTCACTTTTACTCACTTTTCTCCAGGTAGTGCATCGCGGTTGAGTCGTAAAGCGTCCTATCACCACTGCACGCTGCTTCACTCGGCCGACGGCTCCGCCCTTCGCTCCGTGCTCCGCCCCTCCACGCCCGGTATCCACAGCAACGCCACGCCCAGTGTCGTCTCCTCGGTAACCAACCTGACAGACCACGCCCCTTCCTTGACATGGGCAGAGCTAACGCAGGCTCTGGTTCAACAGTTCAACACAGGTCTGAGCTTTCAATTAGATTTATATTATTATTGTCCAATCCAGTTTCATACACAGTGTAATGTGTGTATCTGTACAGGCCCATGAACATTTGTGTGATCTTGGTCACACATGAGAACATCTGTGTTTACTAGTGTGTAAGGAAAATGTAATTTTTCATGAGTTGTGTATATGTTAGTTGTGTGACTGTAGATCAGTGTGTTGTGTATCACCAGAAAAAGAAGAAATGGAAATTATTTTTGTTCCAATTAGAATTTTAACAGCTACACTGAAAGAGAAAGGAACTGTTATAATTAGCGATTATCTGAAAAACTAATATTTTACTACACAAATGCATAGAATTATAAATAGATAATAATTTTTCTGAGATTTTGAGACCACTCCTGTTGCAAAACGCATATTTCACCTTGGTTACCTTTACCTTCAAGTGACCTCAACCGGTTTCAACCTGTAACATCCAGTGTACTCCAATTATGTGTGTGACAACTTGTGTGATGATTGGGTGAATATTATAGCCCGCAGATGGTTCAGAAATTGCTGATATTGCCGATCCTTTGTAATTGTGTGATTTTTCAATTGACCCGTGTGACCTCAAATGACCTCGAATCATCACCAAACTTTTTTTGCAGTATCGGGCACGGGGGCTTGACCCTCGTACCAAATTCGGTATCAATCGGTCAATAAATGGCGGAATTATCGCTGTCACACACAGACACACAGACACAGGGTGAATACAAAACCTGGTCAACCCTTCGGGGACCAGTTAATAAAAGACACCACACAACTCAGTGTTAAAAGCCAGAGAATAAAAGTGGGTCTTAAGACGAGACTGGTTTTAAGTCTCGTCTTAGGCACCACGAGTTGGAGCTGGCCTCGGACCTCAGAGAACATTTGAGTGTAAATCTGGATGAGGTCCGAGACGTAACGTAGGGGCCAGTCCATTCAAAGCTTTAAAAACAAACAATAAAATCTTTAAATCAATTCTAAAATGAACTGGAAGCCGGTCCAAGAACACTAAAATCTGTTAAAACATTATATTATATAGTTTTCTGCTGCCCTTGCCAAACCGGAAAGTTAAAATTATAAGCTTCCAAATGGTCAAAGTAGGAAAAATTTTTTGCGAAATCTGAGTGGGGTCGCCTTTCCTTTAGCTCTGGGTGACGTCACTCTATTGTCTCCATGTAGATATGGTTAATGCCATACTGTGGAACATGAGAAGCAAAGTATTTTACATCTACATGGAAACGAGCAGATGACGGAACATCCACAATTTACAAAAATACAAAGTTGTGTAGTGTACCTTTTAAAAAATCTGAAAAGTGTGTATTTTTTAAGACCTTTTTATGCTGGTTTAGGCTTGGTTTAGACCTGGTTTATTCTAAAATTCCTCATTGGTTAACTCTTATTTTAGCTTAGAGATAAAACATATATTTTTATTTATATATTTTATAATTTTCCCACAGAGTTTGGCCTCTCGTCTCCTCTGGCTCTCTTGGATCCTTCTGACGAATCCGTGTTTCCCGGAATCGGTCGTGTGGCATCAGAGCTCCGCAGCTGGGACTGGACTTTCGGCAAAACCCCCAAATTCTCCATCGAAACCGAACTTTCCCTGGTTGACAACTTGACACTTGAACGCACCACGGCTCAGCTTCACGTCGAACTTAAAAACGGTTTAATTTCCAGTATCGCCGTAACTGTTCCCGACCACTGGCTCCCGCGAAGAGTTATAGATGAACTTTGTGACGTTTTGACGGGAGAGAGGTTTTGCCCACATCGAGCGGCCGCTGCAATTTCAACGCTAATAAAATCTGAACAAGACGAAACGCAAAGAAGACTGCACAACCTGAGCAACACTGTCATCAGTATTATGGGTTAGATTTATAGAACGGTGATGGAAAAGAGTGAATATTTTTGCCTTAAATTTATTGTAAAAACCAGCGTATTTATCTGTCTGTGCTTTTCAGAATAATGATGATATACAGTTAAAAACTAAATATTTTTATCTTGTCAGTGGTCTCAAAAAGTCCTCAAAATGGCACCTATAAACTTAAAATTTAAAGCACAGATAGTGACCAGGTTACAGTACAACAATGTGTTTTATTAGTTATTTTAAAAATGTCAAATATTTATGTTAAGTTGTTTTTATTATAATTACCGGGAAAACCAGCAGCACTGATTATACTGTTTACTTTTTACTTTGTGAGATTGAGTAAAACTGGAATGATGTGATGTAATAATTTTTTACATTAATACTGTGGTAATTACACTACTGTTTTATTATTCCTCATCACCAAATCCGCAAAATAAAAGTGTATATTTCTTCACCTGTGGCATTTTATTCTTATTTAAAATGTGTTAGTTTTGACTGAATCTTGAACATAAAATAAATTCAACTTTGTAAGGCCTGAGCTGTAAGGTTAAGTCTTACCACGCATGCGCAGTAAGGTTAAATCTCACCGCGCATGCTGCGGCTCACGTGCACAAAACTGAGGTATCACTCTGATGGAAATGTTAAAAACCGTATCTCGTTTTTTAAAATGCATTTATTTCACTTATATTCAACAGGAAATGTATGTTGTTGTGACGTATCTTAGTAATTAACAGATTATTAATTCTGTAATAAATCTGTATTTTTCAACATTATCTTCGTGTATGTTAGTGTAGCTAGATTTTCAAAATAAAAAACTGGGACATCCTCAGTTTGGGGCGGGTGATAATAGTAAAACTGTGACATTAATGTGTAATTACGGAAAATTGTTATGCAGAAACCATTCATGACTACGATGTAAGTCTGTATAGTCGCATTTTCTTAGTTTTTTGGTCATTTTTAAGCAGCTTTTCTGTATTTTATCTAAACGAAATGACAATTTGTGCCTCTCTTTACTGCTGGGAGGGATTAAACTAGTCAAAAATAGACACCCGGGACATTTCTTGCATGAAACTGGGACAAATCAATGTTTTTTGGGATAAATCAGGGCTCAAAACTGGGACAGTCCCGGGTAAATACGGACGTATGGTCACCCGAGTATATTATAGCTTTAGCCAATTATTTATTCAGTAACGTGTGGTTTCATCATGCCTTGTAAACATGGATCTATTATAATAATAATAACTATAATAATGACTTGTAAATTATAATAAAATACCCGTATTATTGTTTTTAACGATTACATTAAAAAAGTTATCAAAATATGTAAACACACACATTTAAACTAATACGTGTTTGGTAATATTGCGGTAAAAATAATAATAACTATAATAATAATATTATAATAATAACTTGAAAATTATAATAAAATACCTGTATTATTATTTTTAACGATTACATAAATAAATAAATAAATTAAAAGTTATCAAAATATGTAAACACACATACTTAAACTACTTCGTGTTTGTAATATTGCGGTAAAAATAATAATAACTATAATAATAATATAATAATAGCTTGCAAATTATAATAAAATACCTTTTTTTTTTTTTTTACTACTTCGTGTTTGGTAATATTGCGGTAAAATTCCTTAATCTACGTTATTTTACCAGCCGAAACGGAAAATAGGGTAAAAAGTTATCGCCGTTTCCATAGTAACGGGAGTCGGAGGAAACGCGGCGGAGTCGTCTCTCGTTGTGGACAGAGCGCGGAGACGATCTTCCGCCGTCGTGTGTCTGCGTGAGCGAACCACCGGAGAACACGGCAGCAGCATGGGGAAAAAACAGAAGAAATCCGGGGAGGACAGGTACCCGCGAAACCCGTCGACCCCCGCGAACCCCCGCCGCCCTCCCGTACCGGCGCTGGGTCAACTTTCCCGCGGGCGTTAGAGCCTCGGGACCGGCGCGTTGAGCATGTTTCCAGGCTGTTAGCTCATTAGCCGCTAGTGGGAGATGCTAACCACGCGTCACGGGCAGCGCAGGTGTTCCGTGCGTTTTAAATATCTCCAGGTGAATTACACAACACGCGCGATGGCTAAACCGAGCCGAGCCGGGCTAAAGCGCGCTTAACCCGGCTTGAAAACATCTTTAACCCCGCTGGCTTTAGCACGCTAGCCTCGGATACCCGCCACAGCTGACACAGAACCGGTGACTTAGCTGCTGTTAGCATCGCCCCCCGGAGTTTACTGTTCAATCAGCGACTCCATGTGATATTTGACGCCCGGGAGAGGAGCACCAAACCCGGGCAGCCTTGACTCATTAAGGCCCTGAGCTCAAGGCTAACGTGGATGTAATTCAGCGGAGTTTTATCAGCTTCTTTATGGACTAGCTGGCAGATAGCGGATTGCAACACTGTTTACTGACAGCTGTCTCGCTTCTTATAATCTAAAATCGTCCTTCTTTCCATTCACAGTGTTGGCAAGGTGACTTTTAAAATGTATCTCCCTACAGATTACAGATTACATAGCCCAAAATGTAGTTTGTAACGTAATCCATTAAATTACTTGGAGTGAGTAACGTAATCTAAATACTTTGGATTACTTGATTTGCGATAGAGAAGCGAAAACTCGTAGATCTTCACATAAGAAGTTTTGTCTGCTAAAAGAAAATAAAAAGCCCAGACTTTCCTTAACCGTAATAAAAATATTATTGATAGAAGAGGAGGAGACACAGTTTTAGTGCTGGTTTAGTCCTGGTTTAGACCTGGTTTTCATTCTAGCTTAGACCTGGTTTAGACCTGGTTTTAGTCCTGGTTTAGTCCAGCTTTAGACCTGGTTTTAGTCCTGGTTTTAGTCCTGGTTTAGTCCTGGTTTTAGTCCTGGTTTTAGTCCTGGTTTAGTCCTGGTTTAGATCTAGTTTAGACCTGGTTTTAGTCCTGATTTAGAATTGGTTTTAGACCTGGTTTAGTGTCCGGCAATGAGTGGAATTATGGAAAAAAAAGGGTTTAGCCCAAAATGTGAAAACAGGAAAATACCGCTGTGTAATCCATTCATTTCAACAAAGTAACTGTAATCCAGTTACCACTCATTGAAACTGTAACTGTAACTGAATACAGTTACTCCAACATGTTATCAATTTACGTTACTAAGACGTAATTATCTGTATAACTACTGCATTATTTATTTGTCTTAATGAAACTAAATCTGTACCTCATTTCATTCTTGTACACGACATGTTTTTGGTAATAGAACTCAACTAATATTCAACAAACGTGTCACGACTCTTCTCCTGCGCGAGTCAAATATAAATTAATGCTTCTGAATTAAATAGGTTATGAATTTTGACTGCGTTTTGGGATAAAAGTTTGGAGAAGAGAGCAGCGCTTGCTAATAATGTGAATGGGTTGTGCACCATCAGCAGAAAATGTCCAGTCTTTTTGTTCAAGCCGAAAGCCCCGCTGCCAAAAAATGCACTCAAGTAATCTGACTTTAGCTGAAAATACACTGACCTCAAATGGTTTATGATCATTATTTAAAGTGTCAATATAAATACAATGACGTTACAAGTTTGTAGTTATGTTTACTTTATTGCACAAGGAGGTTACGCTGAAGTTACAATTGCCAAGTCAGCTTCAACATTGGTTCAGACTGAGTTGTAGAGATTTGGTGGTTTGTGGTTACATTTGTCAAAAGAAACTAAAAATTACTCGTCCAAGGTTAGAAGATGAAGAGAATTTGTAAATAAAACAGTAACAGAATGTAGTAAATGATGTTTACAGGGCTTATATTGTGCTATTTTCTGATCTGTGTTATCCTGGAGTTGTGTTTTGTTTCATTCACACATGTTTGTAACACAAAATTCTGTATATATAGACTGAGTTCTACTTTGTGATGTCACATGGTAATACAGGAAATTGTCCACTGTGTTTTTAAACTCCACACACCTTCACTAGAATCATTTGGATCATTTCAGCTCTTCTGGAATCGCCGATCTCTACTGAACTAAAGTTAAAAGGAGCTGTTAACTTGAAAACTACTGCTCTTGATGAGTGTTTTCTGCTTAAATATTCAGGATTTGTGTGTTAAAGCTTTGGAGATGTAGACAAACTAATAATAAAGTGTTACTCAAACATGTGTGAATGAAACAAAACACAACTCCACGTCTGTTTTTCATGAGGTAACGTGGCTTAAAGCTCACAGGAGTTTTCAATTTTGCGTAATATAGGATCTTTAAAATTTTAGCTGAAGACCTGTCATGACCCACCGCTCTGTTATCAACCGTCATCAGTGCGTATCTGTGTGTCCCAGTGTTGAAACTGTGGTGCGCTGTAAGCAATGATTATTTTATTGTTTGTCTAATGCGCAAGTGCTTTTTCCGTTATTCCAAGTTTGATTGCGTTTCGATTTTTTATTTATGTTTAAAAAGCAGGATTCTGTTCACCTTGCACATTGTAAACAACTCCAAGAGCATTAATAATCTAATACAAGAATTCCACGCATTTCAGAACATGTTTGTAGAGGTCTAAACTACAGGTACAACCAGATTTTTCAGTAAAGACAGGATGGTTTGTCCTTTGCTGAGGACATTTTATGACCTAAATAATTGCAGCTTTTATGATTTGATAACTGCACCGAGTCTAATTGAGATTTCGATGTGATGGTGATTAGTTGTGCAGCCCTAATATGTAGTTACTTAAAGGCGCACTATGTAACTTTTTGCCCGAGGGTCCGTCACAATCCATGTATCATTGGTTCATTCGTTTTTTCAAAATAAAACCAAAAAGAAGAAAATGGAAAAAAAAACTACTATTTTCTTAATTATATGTCTCCAAAACCAAAATGAAAACACAGATAATGATGCGTTTTTTCAGTTTTTGATTTTGTGTTTAAATGAAAAATGGAAAAAAACTAATTTAAACGTTTCCCGTTTCTGTGACTTAAACTGCGATGCCGGATTTTTGTGCCACATGCGGACTGAACCAGGACTAAACCAGGACTAAACCAGGTCTGGAAATAGAGCGGGACTGAGACCAGGATTGAGACAGGGAACAGGACAAGGACTGAGATTGGGGACCAGACCGGGACTGAAAATGATTTAGTCCTGGTTCAATCCTGGATGAGTCCTGGTTCAGTCCAGCATCACAGTTTAGGTCAGGTAAACGGGAAACGTCCATTATCCCGTTTTTTTTCCATTCTTCATTTAAACACAAATCGAAAACTGAAAAAACAAATCATTATCTGTGTTTTCATTTTGGTTTTGGAGACAAATAATGAAGAAAATAGTTGTTTTTTCATTTTCTTATTTTTGGTTTTATATTGAAAAACAAATGAATGAACGATATGTGGATTCATCACCTTGTTTCTATGGATTCCTCTGCCTGGAAAGTTCCACAGTATGACACTATTACACAGCTCTACTTTACATTTATTCAATTACAGGTGGT